CTTGATACGCATTTTTCTATCGAAATAGTAAAAAATATCTAAAATATCTATTATTGGTGAATGAGAATCATTATACATTTATCAAAACCATCTTTTTCATTTAAAAGGGGTTATTTCGTTACGGGCGTAGCCTGAAGCAGAAACTCATATACCTACAATGCTACCAAGAGGCTGATGCCCTGCTGATAGCTGGTTCTTTGTGATAACGAGTGTTATTATTAGATATGCCATTACTTTACTAAAGTGTAACTTGGAACGGCATATGCGTTTAGACTGGTGCCATCTTCAAACATACGATTCAGGGATGCGTCGACGAAATAAAAGACTCCAAGTGTATCTTCATAGGTCTTGAAGGGACAAGGCCTCTATCTACGATAAAACTACTAGCGGCCCGATACGTGCTTCACTACGTTCAAGTATATCATAAAATATAATCAAAAACATACTATTATGTTCATTTAACAAAAAAAAAAAAATGTTATCGTTTGCTATGTAAAACTCTAAACGAGTCAAAAGATATATTATTGAAAATTAATGGCATTTTACCTCAACAATATTTTGGATCATAAAAACACAAAACAATAACTCAACAATATTTTGGAACAATAACGAACATTACATCTAATTAACTAGTGGTATGTTAAATGCTATTCCAAAGTTAATAATACCGCCAGATTCTTCATATATAACACATCCTAATTATCTTCACGACTGTCATAGGTACTATTTACCATGAAAAACGAACAAAACCTGCCCTAATGTGACGACATATTTCGAAATAAACGAACAATGGAACAAAAATATATGTACGAAGGACAGAGTATGTTGTGGGCATTTCATAGGCTTACCGGCGCGGCGATACATATCTGAGTTGTATGATCCAAGTCCTGATGCCTTTAATTTGGGGTTGAAATAAAAACCGAAGAGGAACTTTATAGGTATAATAAAAAAATAAATAAGGTCGTTCAGTTTCAAACACTCAGGCACTAAGATTTAGCACTCACAGCGTGCGGTGAGGTGCGCTAAATTTGAGTGATTCCATTCGCGACTTAAATAAATCGACGATACCTATAAACCTTAAAAAGTAATTGACTCCTAATTACTGCCCTGTCTTTATTTATGTTTTACTACTTGACAATAGATGGCAGTCTGTTTATAAAATGATATAAAAGTTACATAAATAATATTTTGGCGATTAAAGGATCTTTAGGAATGCATGTCGATCAAATTACTATACAAACGATCATTAAAATATACTAATACTGAAATATGCGTACCTATAAATATTTTGTTTCTATGATACAAAGTGTCGACATCTAGTGTCGCGTAGATTGATAATTGGAAACGCTGACAATAAGAGACTTTGCTAGAACTATTTTAATAAATGACGAATAAAATAACTTATACATGAAAAGTGATGCCATCCATTGCACCGTAACGTTTATCATAGTATTTTTTACAAGATAAAACACAAGACTTCATTTTGTTTTCTTCTGTCACGAGTAAAATGAATATTTTATAGGAGTTGTGCACAGGACGAACGACCACAATTCACTGACGTAAGCCACGCCCACATTGATGACGTGAGGGCCGACTTGTGTCACAGGGCCGAGTTGTTTAGGCCGTCTCCTCTTTGTTCTTACTCCGTGACTTAGGCCTTCTTACTAGACTAATGTTTACTACGTAAAGTTTTCATTACCTACCTACTAAATATTTTGGTGACTGGCAATCAAGGTAAAAAATAGAGTAATTAAAAGAGATCGATTTTAGCTCTGCAACCTTGCGCATATCGTCGTTCCATTTGCAGCACTCAACTACTGTGTCCCAACGGGAGAGATTTTACTGTTGCCGTGCAGTAAGACATGTAGGTAACTACATTTTCTTTCTGCTTTATTATAACATATATGTATATTGAATATCTTATCATACTTCTTACTAGGTAACATTATAAAATATTTCGAAAGTTACGATGTTTGGATGACTTCTCCCGCCCAGGGCCGGGCGGGAGGGAGTGTCAGACTCTTACTGACTAAAAACCCCCCTGTTCCTTCTCCTGCCCTGGGCCGAGGTAGCGGTGCCTCACCGGGTTACCCCGCAATCCCGGCTGAACATCAGCCCTATAGGGCCCCGTCTGTGGTGGTTAGATATAGCTACACTCCGGAATATGACATAGGCTACTTTTTATCAATATACCACGCGGGCGAAGCCGCCGCCGGGTGCTAGTATTTATTAAATACATTTAAAACTATAAAAAACATACCTACACGTATATTTAACGTTTTTAATCTTACTTGATACTCCTGAAAAACATTAAATAGGAATTCCTCGGAAATTTTTCTTTTAACATAAACAAAACAACTGACTTGCAAGGACGACCTTCCCGTTAGGCCAATGCCTTCAGGATCTCAGGTGACAGATGACCTCAACTGCAAGGATGAAGAGGCCGGTCATTCGTGTTCAGGTTGGTAGCGAATGCGACTACCGTAACGGGAACAATACGTATACGGGAATTTAAAATAAGGTCTTTCAAAAAAGGTGTCAAATTATTTTTGTTGTCTATTACAATTAAACTCGCACTCCGCCTATGGTTTCGTTAGCGTGGAAATTCCCAGAGTGTGAATGGACTAAAAGCTGGTTTGTATATTTTATGGGACAGGAAAAACCTTGTTTGATGACTGTATTACTTCGCTGAAATGAAGAAAAAACTAAATTTTTAATCCTTTTACAAACACATTAAGTACCTATAAGTCATAACTTATGTCAGAAAGTAGAAGTTGATATGTTTGGGAGGAAAGTTTTTAACTGTAAATATTAGATATCTACTTACCTATATAATTGTAAAGAAATAAAATAAAAATGCTATCGTTCTTGTTCTTTATTCAGAAATTCACGCAGAACTTAATACCTGTGCCTAGTCTATTAAGTATAATTTGATTCCTATTAGGTATTTGAAATCAACGATAAAAAACCTTGATCTGTCATATAACAGACAAATGAATGTCTTAAAGTAAAAAAAATCGCGGCAAGTGACGTCATGGGTGTGTCACTCTTTGACCGTATATTTGGGGAAACCCGTTTTTAAAGGCAAGAGAAAACTCTCAAGATGCATTATAGCTTTTTGATACTATTATTACTTAGATAGAAATGGAGAATATTTTTTGGAAATTAGTTATCTAATGTACATATATTATTTCATTTTTTCTTGTTAAATGTCTTATTAGGCCCACACAAGCACGTTTTTCTGTTTCGTTCTGTTACAATTTCGCATAGGTACACATAACACCCAGACCCGGAAGAACTAATCGTGGATCACGCAAAGAGGTGTTACGTGCGAGAATTGAAACTGCGTCACGTTGCACGGCAGCCGATTTACCAGCCACAGCTTCTTATGCTTGAAGTCTAAACTTTACCTAAATAAAAATATGTAGGTAGAAGGTTGTTCTAGTTTTCTGCGTCACCCAGTCTACCGTCTACCCGTTGCATTTTGTGTCTAGGTCTTCTGCTCGTAAGCGTAACAATTGCGTATAACGTATGCCCCAGATCCCTACTTCAGGCACTAGCTTCAGGTACTTGCTTACATATTTTGTACAAAGGTAAGATAGGTACCTACTTAAAGCAGATACCCTATTGAAATTATATTTTTTTAGGTGACGGATCAAGGAGGATTAATAAGAATAAATTCGAATATGTAATAGTTACCACAAAGGTTTTATTTTTTTCATTTTGTGAGAGGAAGTATCTGTAAATTATTTCACCCACCCTTATGATGTGGAAGGCTGTAACCTACTTGGCTACTTAAAACCACTCTGTTCTTCCTCGTAATCCGAGCCAGGCCTTGGTACATCGTAGTGCTTACGCCCGTACCTTTGACTGGACATCGACCCTACTGGACCCCATCTGTGGTAGTCTAATAGCTCTATAAGGCAGGCGAAGAACACGACACGCCGTAAAGCTTTAAGTCCCCTTTCATCGTCTTCGTTAAAGAGAGGTTTTAATGTTGCGGTAATAATGAGCCCGTGCTTCAATTAAGATATCTGTTGCTTCCAGTCTACCATGAGATCTCGATTCCGGTAGTGGAATTTTACGTCAAAATTTGACGTTAATACAGGAGAGCCTGCAAAGGGCGATGGATCACAAGGTCCCATATTTAGTTTTTGGCAATCGTATGTGAGTAAGGGTCTTCTATTATTAAACTTTCCTTGTCACAAATAATTTCTAAAGTGTCTTGATGTTCTAGTCTATTATATTACTGTGTTTAGTACAGAAAGTAAACATACCTAGATAAATTGAGTACCTATCTTATTCTTCTTACGTTCTCATGCATTGTTAGCGACTAGGCGCCTATTTCATCTCTGGAATTTGCCGGATTATTATATCAACCAAATTGCGGCACAAAATGAGTTAAGTGCTTTATTAATATTACTAATACTGAATTCTTTATTTGACTTTTGATTTGGTGATGCCACTGACTGAAGATGTCTTACAAAATGTAAATAACCAGATACCAGCTCTCGGGCTACTAAGACTCATCAACATGATCCTAAATTCCTAACTAGCCCGCTACTGCTTGACTTAGCCCTCTCCGATTGCATGCATTGTATCTATTCAGACAAAATGCAAAGTTTAGTTCCCAGGTATAATTTCCAGAGCAAACAAAATGCTTGCATGCTTGTTTTGTGTTTATTTTAGGTTTTTGAGTGAATAACAGAAATAATGATATGTTGAAACGATAGGGCCTAACTTATTTATTTTTATAGTAATATAACGAACGTAAGACAATTTTTGAATATCTTTATATTTATTAAATTTTCTATTTTTATATGTTATTGTATATTTTCAGCGTGTTGAGTTCATATCTTTTTGTTATTCACTTGCCTACAAAATCAATTTCCGACTTATGGAGAGTAATAAAGTATCTATATCAAAAAGCCGCGTATTCAGTTAATCATTATTTTCTGTCAACCTAATTAAGACATTTCAATTGTCATGTCAGTGTCACAGTCGGGATAAGTCAAACCAAATGTCAAGTGTCAAATGAGTTGAGGAACGATTTGGGTTCTCACTTTCATTTATTCTAAAAAACAGCGTTTCAGTTATTGATAATGTAAATATTTTTCTTTAAAATTGTGGTTTGTGTGTGCTGCTACACGTTTTCCAGTTCAAAATGGGCGATAGCAGCGATTCTGAAGAGTTTTATGACGCTGAAGAGTTCACACCCATTAAAGGTTCCAAGTAAGTAGCGAAAACGTTAACAATTTTGCTGTTTTATTATTATGCACTTAACAATAGCCTGTTAAGTCGTGCTATATTCGATTATCAATATATTTTGCCATTAAGCGGCGTATCTTAGATGAATGTATGGATTTAAATAACAAGTTATTCTATTTTGAATGAAATGTTATAAGAAATGAACAGATGTTTCGAATGCTATTGATATGCGTCCTTGGCGCGAGCGACAAGTTAAAACAAATAAAAAACAGTCATCCATCGATGCGAGACTGGCTCATTTGGCTAGAACAATGAGTTAATAGACCACATCGTGATTAGCCAATAAGTTGATGGTTTACATATTAATTGTGAATTCGTCCTACTTATGCATTAGCTGTTGACAATGTTTTCACTTGCTTATTGATGTTAGCTGTGTGCATGTGAACACATTATTATGAAAACTTAATTCTTTCATAACATTCTTAGATGTAAGACATGTTAATTACTTTATTGAGACTAGGTGCAGTGTTTTGAATCTAAAATAATATTGCTGGACCTTATATCTTTACATCCCATTAAGTTTTTATTAATTAAAATAACAGATAATTTTACTTATTTCCTTGTTTTATTTGTTATTGTTCTAATTAATAGTTAGTCAAACTAATAAGAACACTATGAAACAGACCCTTATCCATGAAGGTTTTCATAAAAGATGTTTTATATGAAAAATTGCTTTCAGAAGATCATCATTATGCAAGAACATAAGTGTATCGGAAAGTGGAGATGCTCCGGAGAAGGACAAGGCTCCGGCTATGAAGACTGAGGCAGTACAGGCAGTGCCTCGAAGTACTAACTCTGTGGCTACAGAAACTGCACCTGTGGAAGATGATAGGACCACAGTGAACAGTGTAAGTAATAATTTAATTTTTATCAAGTAATAATAATATAAAATTAATCCATAATTAATGAAAATAACAACCTATTTGAATAAACTGAGAAGCTTGACTAGTTTCAAGTCACAATAGGACTCTCAATAAACATGATTAAGTCTTATTTAAAATAGATTTTGTATGTTTCGTAATAGTTATTACACAATAATATAAATGATGATATCAATAATGTAATAAAAATTTTTACTGAAAATAGCAACTAGCTAAGTTAAGTGAATCCAATTATTAGAAATTTGTAAATTACATAAAGTACATAAGTTTTACTACATTAATTATTATGGCGATGTTATTTTATGTGGTTGGAGCAATAAAGTCAGACAATTGGCTAGTTTCTTAAGTCAAAAAGAGTTTTTTTTGACTTTCGATACAATGAATTATTAAAATATAATTGTACATTAATGTTCAATTTTCAATTGATTGAAATTTTATAAAGTTAACTAGAAAGAGTAAGTATGCTTTTTGACGTCAAAGAAAAGTGTCATTTTTGATATTTCAATAAAAGTATTGAATTTGACCAGTAGGAAACTATCAAATTTGCAAAGTAATGACATGATCTGAAATCATGTTCATATCACATTCTTTATCAGGCTATAAAAGTGATATGTTTTTCCAGTTGGTGCAAGGTCGGAGAAGATTCCATGAGTTACGTCTTTGCATGCAGACTGAGGAGGAGGATGAGGGCGTGCCTGATGCCACTGGGTCAGTAGACCAGCAGACTTTCACATCTGAACACCCATTCAAGTGAGTGTATTTTATTTTTTTAATTAATTATTTTTATGATAGGGCAAACAAGCATTTGGCTCTTTTGATAGTAAGCAATCAGCGCCGCCCATGGACACCCGCAAGGAGGAGTTACAATTGCGTTGCCGACCTTTTAGGGATTAGGAGATTTAAGGATTGAGGAGGGGAGGGGAAGAATTGGGAGTCCGGCGAAACGCAACGCTGTGGCTGTTTCACGCCGGTTTCCTGAGAGGCCGTGGTATCACTCCGGTCGAGCCGACCCATTCGTGCCGAAGCTTGGCTCTCCCACACTTTGTGGACTTGTTTACTTTTAGCCTAAACAACGTAAGCATACTATTGCTATTTCGGAAGTTTGTGTGTGATACTCTATGATCAGTTGTTATCAATCCTACACTGGGGATGTGAGCTTATCTGTGCTACAGAGCATTAGTTTAATACATTAGTTTATAATACATATTTTTGTGAACAATTAAGAAGAGCGGAGTAGTCATTACAGTTTATAATTGAACAATTTACTCAAGGTCAAGTATTTTGTTTGAATGTATTGCAATAATCATTCTTACAACTTTTTTTTACAGAATAATAGCACACGACACAATGAGCCTGCAGAGTATGACGTCACTCGGCAGGATTGGCAGAATACTCAGTGGAGCTTCGGAATCTCACTGTAAGTAGTTATGTATACACTAATACTAATAATATAAATGCGAAAGTTACGATGTTTGGATGTTTGTTACTCAATCACGCCAAAACGGCTGGATGGATCTAGATGACATTTGGCACAGGCTATAGGACATCCGTTACATAATTTTATTCAATACAACATACCACAGGGGCGAAGTCACGGTTGGAAGCTAGTACACTAATATTTACACAATACGTTTTATCTTCAAATTCTTGATAGAAATGATCCGTGTTCACTATGATAAATAATGCACATGAACTGTCAAAGCACCAAAATATGGACCAAAAAAACAAAAAATGTGTTTGAATATGCTCGAAACAGCGTGACTTAATATCACTACGACTCCAACAACTGCTTCGTTTCGGGGGAGGCGGTATCAATATGGCAATCAACCCCTAATGCGTGTGATGCGCCACAAATATGCACGAAATCAATTTTGGGAAGAATTACAATGTTTTTTTTGCTAAAAAGTTAAAAATCATTAATTCAATTAGACCCTTACAGGCACTTTTGAACGTCAAACTAAATTTTAAAGGTGTGATTATAAAGTGTCAGTCCTCCCAGTGAAGCTTTTTGGTTTTTAGTCATTAAGTGTTGTATTATACTTTAAAAATAAAACAGTAAAGTATCATTAAGAGTTGGACACTCTCCCTCGCCCCATCCACGGCCAGAGAAGACAGTTGATGATTTTCCTTTACTCAATTAAAAGGGCTAGTCTTCTAAGTCAGCAGTATCACAGTATCACTTCAGATTTAAGAAGCATGGAACATCAATTTTGTTTACTACTGAGTAGGTATGTTATGATTCACACCTGCCTCTGACTCACAGTCTTTATGAATAGACTTCTTTAATATAATTAGCTCCTGCATGATCTCTGACTTGTAAATCACGTGACTTAAATTATTTTTTATCATAGAACGAAGTAGATGGTACCATTTGGATGGAAACAGGTTTTAAGAGTAGGTAATTAGTACTTTAAATAAACGTTACTTTAATAAATCTTCGAATACTGTTAAAGACTGTTGAAGTTTTGATCTGACTTATCACCTTATGATAAGCAATCGGCCCCAGCTAAGGCCACCTACAAAATCAAAGATATATTAGATCACAAAAGTTTTCGACTGTTTAGAGATTAGGGATTTAGAGGATTGGGGAAATTGGAGATATGATGGGGTTGGAAGGGGGGGGGACTACATTTGGATCACCGATACCAACGCGTTTCATGCCAGCTTCCTGTAAGATCGACATGGGGTGCCCCTTCGTGTCGAAGCATGGCTGTCCCACACTTGATTGATAATTATTTAATATGTTTATCGCAGCGAACATCCGTGATACCGCGCCGGTACCATCGGTGTCATCGAGGGAGCCCTCAACTATATCCGACGAACAACTCACTTCAGAGAATAGAACTCAGAATGGTGAGTAAATTAGACATAATTCAGGTATTTATAAGGCTATAACGGATTTGATATATTGGAAATTAAAAACAAAAACAAGAAAATTAACAACATTCATAAGTTTCTCTTGCAGTACTTGCCTCATGCATTCCAATAAAATTTTATTCCTACCATCTGCAAACAGACTAAGAAACAGATGGTATAAATATGGTCTTTTGATATATGTATTGAAACTTTCACATTCGTAGTTTAAAAGTTGTTTTAAAATGTTCTTTATTTACATATAGGTAGGGTTTAACTTTTCTTATAACGGATAAGTATAATGATTGTCGGTTGGTTGTCAGTGCTAGCGATGGCTGAGCCGGACGTGATCGCGAGTACGAAGGCAAATAGTTTGAAACACAACCGCAGCGGCGGCGCCATCGTCGCCGTCAGCGGGTCCAGCGAGCCGCGCGCCCAGCCTGTCGCCCCGCCGCGCAGGAAGAAACGCAGTTAGTACCATATAATATATACCAACTTGCTTATATTATAAACACGAAAGTAAAGTAGGTAGGATAGATGACTTTCACATAAAGACGACTGAAAGTATATGAATGATATTTGGCATACCTAAAGATGGAATATAGTTTGGAATAATACGTAGGCTGCTTCTTACCTAGGAAGCCTCTGGCAGAAACTACTAGCTAAATTCCATCTTTGACGTAATCATTGGTCGAATAATGTGTCATCCCGACTGGAGTGATACCACGACCTCACTCACAACAAGCGAAAAGCAACTACAGCCTCCCCAAACCCCTTAATATAAAACCAACAAGATCCAATTGACACCGAAACTCAAGAAGACCGAAGGAACTTAGTCTTCGAAATCCTTATACCCAAAAGACCAGCAACGCACTCGTAACTTCACTGGTATTACGGGTGTCCATGGGAGTCTCCGATTACTTACCATCAGGTAATGCGTCTGGCCGTTTGCCCACATATAAATTCAAATTGTTATTTCAATAGCAGTTTTACTAAATTCTTGTTTATCTTAGCAATTATTATTATTATTAAATAACATTTATTTATTATTATTTACACTGTAAAGTAATGTGACAATAAGACTTTATAAACATTTTCCTCAACGTTAAATAATATATTTTTCCTTATATCTATTCATATGTATGTCGCATCACTTGTAGACAAGTTGCACGGATCTCAGTCTCTATCGACGACGGATGGAGACAACTTAAGCGTTTGTACTACAGACACGGATGAATATCGATACATAGCGCGGCGACCGGACAAACCACAGCTCGACTCATTAATTGTTGAGGTATGTATGAAGTTTTGATACAGTACCATTGTAACTTGTAGTAATTAATCAATAATAATAAATAGTGCTTGAAATGTATTTGCGCAAAAGTCTGCAATTTTTTTGCGCAACCTATTTGCGCACTGGCATAAAATTATTTTGAATCTTGACCTTTATGATTTCTATTATTTTTAGTTCTAATTTTCTGAACGAATTCTTTAGTAGTCTAATCAAATCCAAGCCAAGCCCCAAAGTTAATTCATTAGGACTCTACAAATTTCTGTGGCCCCAAGGTATTATATTAAAAGTTTTTATTAAGGTATTATATTAAGAAAAACGCACTCGCAATGCACGATACTAGTAATACATCAGACTTTTGATTGCAGCCACAATTGGAGTGTAGTTATCAGAATCATTGGTATAAAAGAAAATTATTTTCTTTATAGCCACCACCCCCAAGTGCAGTGAACCAGTCGATGGCGCTCCCAAGCCCCGCCAGCACGATAGAATCTCTCACCAGAGAGTTCCAAGACTCGCTCGAACTATCCAGTTCGAAATATGGTAAGTCTACAGAAATGTTAATTTTTTTTTATCAGAATAATATATTTTTCGGTGCCACAAATTAACGTCTCTATTCACACAAAAAAAAATTGACCTATAGTCAAAGTTATACAGATAAAATCTTTTTTTGGATAGTGTCTATTGTTAGTCTTGCAAAATATTACTATGCAAAATAACGACTTCCGTAAATTAATTAACTAAAAGCACTATTAGTTTCGTATCGTAACGGGAGTTTTATTTATAAGCAGCGTGCATCGTGGCCTTTTATCACTTAATTCACGTAAGTCGGTATTTTTAATTGTTACGACATTAAATAGCGTATAAAAAATCGATTTGGAACTCCCCCTCTTTTCGAAATCGGTTAAAAAATAGTATTGTGAAGAAAAATAGTGTATAAGCAAGTGATTGTTGTGTACAGGCAGTTCCCGTGGGTCATTGAGCCTCCATGAGTCGCGACCCAGCGAACGCGACACTCGAACTACGCCACGCCAGCCCACTGATACTCCGCTTAGAGGTTTGCTAATTGCTAATCATAATTAATGATTGAATAGACATTACTATATCAGGTTTAGTATGGATCGGCTTGAGTGATACCACGACCTCACAAAGAACTGGCGTGAAACAACCAGAGCGTTGTGTTTCGCCGAGTTAGTGAAGTTACCGGAGGTCCAGTCCTTCCCCCGCTTCCACCCTCAATCCTAAAAACCCATATCCCTAAATCGCTAATAACCTACAAGAGACCGGCAACGCACTTGTAATAATTGGGTAGTTTCCAAGGTCAAAAATAAATTAATTCGACGTTTTAATTGGATAAAATATTGAAAAATAACTATACTTTTATTCATAGATCGATCGATACACTAAGTTTTAGATATTTTTTAGCTAATTTTTTGACGACGTCATAATACAATTTTCATAGAAAAGAATCGTTTTTGACATTTGGATAAAAGTATTGAATTTGACTAGTTGGAAACAACCGTATTCTTTTGGTATTACGAGTATTCATGGGCGGCGCTGATTGCTTACCGTCATGTAATCCGTTTGCTCGTTTGCCGACATATAACAGAAAGAAAATAGAAGATACTTAAAAAAATTGTCTATTTGTGATGTATAACAAAATTAATAAAAATATTCTCTTTATATAATTGTAGATGAAGCGATGGCCCGTTCCGAAGATCGCAACGTTCGAACACACAGCGAAGGTCGTACGGCGCCTCCTTCGTCAAGACCTGCGGCCGCTAGGTAAAATATTATACTGGTATTTTTATTTCAAAGATTTGCTTTAAGATTACTTACTATCGTACTACTTAAGCGTATTCCTTTTTATAATATATATATAAATAAATAGAAATGTTTGTTCCGGTATCAAATATAATCCCCCCCCCAGACGCAGTAACTCGGAGTCGCTGGGCGGGTCGCGGCGTCGGTCGGCGGGGGACGAGGCGGCGCTGGGGCTGCCGGCCGCGCTGCGCACGCGCACCGTGTCGGGCCACCACCTCACCGACATCGAGATACTCGAACAGGTCACCGTGCTCAACTTGGACACTGGTATGTCTACATTCATTTTATATCTTACTGACCAAAATTATTTTTTAATATCTTATTCTTTCTTCAATTTTTTTTATACTCAATCGTATGTGGCTTGAGTGATGTAGTATTTATTGATCAAAATTAGGTAATATGTGAGTTATGTCCATAGTTATGTGAGTTGATTCCGCTAATAACAGGTAATACAAGAACAGTTATCAACTTATAAAGTTTTTTCTTGAAATATTAACTTTTAAGTTTCTTGTTCTTTCTTCTTCATTAGAATCAACAGTTTGGAACGAACTTCACGAATAGAACTATTCTATCTTGTTTTGACTCTTGTATATGGTATATGAAAAATTAGTGATTACCCCAGCTTCACACGGTTACAAAGCTACTACTAAATTATCCGCTATTTAATGGATATTATTTTTAATATAAATATAAAGTTTCCTCTTAAATTGCTCTATTTATTAAAAATCATCAAAATTCACTTATAGATTTAAGCATATATAGGAGCGGAAGAAGCAAGTTTGTTTTACAGTATGTAATGATATTGTTGGTGTGTGTGGTGTAGGCGAGCGCGTCCCGCTGAGCGTGGCGGAGCACAAGCTGCCGCAGTGCATGAACCCGCTCAGTCTGCACATCATGAGGCTCACCTCCGAGTACATCGGACGGAACCACGACACCGACCATGCCAGGTCATACACTCACTTATATATACTTACTACCATCTCTATCTTAGAGGTCATCCATAAACTATGTCACATGAATTTCATACATTTTTAAACCACCCCCCTCCCTAGTGTGACGTCACAAGGTTTGCAATTTCACATCGAAAAATCATTAAATAGAAACAATAAAATGACGCGAGGTACAAACGGCTCGTCGGCAATCGGCGCGTGTCACTAGAGCGAGTGTGAATTTATCAACAAAACAATTTAAACCGTGTTTTCCTAAAGATAGAGTCGAAAATATTTTTTAATTTAATTAATATTTCAAATTATGCGTTTCAAAGTTGAATATATCTAGTACCTCTAGATATATTCGATTTTGAAATGTAATGTCACGAAAGTTAGGACCCCTCCGATCCTCCTTTACGTGTGACGTAATTTATGGATGACCCCTTATGTATGAACTATAGCGCTTCTTTTTCAGTTTCTTATGATAAAAACGTACGAAATACGAAGTATTTTCTAAAAATGCATTTTGTTTATTACTTGGAAAAGTACCTAAAGTTCTTTGTAAAAGTCGATTGTTAACCAATGCCTAAGGCATTATGTTCGCCTGTATATTTAATTGTATTAAGTTTTAATTTAAAAAAGCAAAGTTTTATAAACACAATCTAGGACAAGGATCAAAAATAATGAAAAAATGTTAATCAATATCATAACGTCAATCTAAGCAAAACACAATATTGTTTTTATTATCACAATAATCTTTTACTGATGTCAAGCAACATTTTCATTGTATATCATAGTCAAAAGAGAAGAATGATCATTTAAAATTGGTATGGAAAACAGCGATGACGTTTCCAGATATGAGGTGAAGCGCAGACCGTCATGGCGGCGCCGACTGAACATGTCGACGCTAAACCTCACGTGGCGCTCCGAGCACTCCTCCAACCTCAGTCTCGAGACGAGGTCCGCGATACTCTCTGTAGCCACTGCTTGCCATATTGCCTTGCGGTTATAGGGTTGCCAGACTTGTATCATACAATTTTTATCCCCCTCCGTCCATCTCTTCCCAATACATCCGATACCCTTAACCCCAAAGGCCGGCTTAACATCATGTAAACCGTCTGTACGTTTGCTGACCTGTCCCATAAAAGGTGATTTTTATAAGGGCCGGCCCGTCGAGAGTGATACTTACCCCGGCCTGACGGCCTTACAATTAACTGACGAAACCACGCTTGTGTTGTGCTTCGCTGTGTCAGAGAGGTTGCCAAATCCTGTTGAGTTGTTTGAGTTTGTTTCGGCATTTCTTCTCAGGGTATTCAGATAGGAAATGCCGGCTTCATCTAGTTTTTCACATATAAATTGACGTTTTATGGCCTATTTGCAAAAATAAAATCATTGTTTCATTGTGGTCCCAATCCCCAATCTACAATTTTTAATCGCTTATCCCAAAGTGATTAGAGTCTATTGCGATATAACAAGAAGGAACTGTAAAGATTCTTATTTGTTGTCACTGTTCTAGTCTGAAATTTTGTAATGAATTTGCACCTACTTTCACTAAAGTGACACACACATGTAACATTTATGTTCTTGATTTTTTATTATAACACAAGTGTTCGCAAAATTTGATCATGTTTGATTCACTTACACTGAATGCTTTAATATATTTTGCACATCAGTTCTAGTTTACACAAAAAGATATTCAAACACTACACACTAAAGTGAGCAAGTAAAATATTTTTTTTTAGTTGGTCCAATAATTTCGATTTAATTTTTACGTCTGGCAATCCTGCTTTGAGAGTCTATAGCTTATAAAATCCTGATTTGCGTTTGAATTTAAAAAAATAAATACTAAACTTTACCCAAAAAAATCTTTACTATATTGCAAAAGCTACTTTCGTATCACAGCAAAAAGGATGATTTTTGTCACACAAACTAACTGATCAGAAAGAACTACTAATATGTTTGAAATTAATAAGCTTGTCTATGCTACTGTGATGTTGATTTTATGCGCATTCCAAGAATTTCTGCTTAAGGTCACAGATGAAAAAAAATGTGAATTATATCTAGCTTCAATTGTTAATTTAGGCTTTTTTTAGGCTTTGATCCCAATAAACTTGTCGTAGTTGTTAAGCTAAAAAATGTTAGAGATAATTTTGATTTTTCGTGATTCTAATTAATTTATCGAATGTTGCAGACAACAGCTTCTTTATATTGATTGCATTTATTAAGTATGCAATAATTTAAGCTAAAAACAAAAAAAATATAGTTAGACAAAAAACATACCGGTTATAGCGCTTTGCATCTTAGGTTGCATACAATGCGAAAATAAATAAAAACATATTATAAACATAATATTTAAAGTTCTTTTTGTCATTGTATGGTAAGGTGAGACTTACTCACTTGAATTTACTGAGAAAAACAGCTAAAGCATCGCGACGCGCGCGCTTCTAAAGAATAAGAATCCCGTTTTGTCTTGAAACTAGTAGAGCTTTTCTCAAATAATTCTCATAAGTAAGTTGTTTCCAATAAATTTAAAGTTGCTCCCTATTCTTCGTGCATATTTTAACGTGTCTTGTTATCACAGGGAGACGGATGAAGAAAGTGAAAGCGTGTGCGCGGGCGGAGCAGAGGACGAAGCGAAAGAGATGAAGAGAGAATCTACTGACAGACAGACTACTGGTATTAAGAGGAAAACTGAGAAGTAAGTTGTTTATTATTTATTTTTTTGTTGTGTTCGTTTCCGTTCACGGGATGACCGGGTCCTGGACCTTTGGAAGGCGTACGAGAGGCCGTTGACAGAGCAGAGGTCCGTTGAACATACGCGCCTCAAGGAGCCAATAGACTACCACAGACGAGGCCCTATAGGGCTGATGTTCAGCCGGGATTGCGGGGTAAGCGCAATGAGTCACCGCGGCCTCGGCCCAGAGCAGGAGAAGGAAGGGGGGGGGGCTTAGTCAGTAAGAGTCTGACACTCTCTCGCTTTACCCTGGGCGGAAGAAGTCATTTGATGATTTTCCCCTGACAAAAAAAGAGGTCTGTTGAACAATTTAGATTTGAATGTGACGGCGCATTAACCGTCCATTATATCCTTGAGTGCACTATGGAAATGCACCTATAATCACCTGCCGATGCAGGGCTATTGTGACAGGGTTGCTGTGGACTAGTGGATGACAACTATGGAAATATTATGGCCCCTTCCTGGTCAACTACTGTATCATAATGAATTTAAAATGAATAATATAGGTTCCGAAAAAAATTACTTCTTAAAATGCTAAAATGTAGGTAATACTGTCAATGTCGAAATGCTCGATCGATACCAGATAAAATTATCGGGTTTCTTTTTCATCAAAAGGGACGTAATCTACAAAGGTATTATATAATGGCTTCCATTACCTTAATAGATTAATTCATTAAACCCCAAGCGAACACTGTTCTTCGCGCTTCGGATTACCACGGCTGAAAGGTTAATGTGTGAATATTATTTAAGCATAGTTCATGTTTACTCTAGGATCACAGCGACACTGGTTAAAAGTCATTCGCAGGACAACATAAACAAGAGACTCAGACACTCAGATATGAACAGGTGACCGTGTGACAACTAACACTGCGACTGTGGCAAGATATCGATACTTTAGTATAGGTATATCGATATATTGGTGCTCGATACTGCCTCCTCACTATCCGATTCGATGTCGGATATATTATCCACTAGCTTCCGAACGTGGTATGTTGATAAAAAGCCTATGTGTTAATCTAGAGCATCGCATCTATCACATACCAAATTTGAACGAAATCGGTCCAGTCGTTTTTGTGTGAGAGAATAACAAACAGACATCTATACATTCTCACAAAGTTTATTAGTAGGATCGAATATGTCACTTACACTCTTCAAGTTGTTAAGGATGGATGGATGAAGGATTTTCGAAAAATTCTTATTGCGAAAAATATAGACTTATATCATTAAGCTGACCGGTAGCCATTTTCAGAAGTGGTGACAATTTTTTTTTGTACTTTACTAGTAACACAGCTTAAATAAACTTCTTTCATATAAAAAGTGGTAGTTAACTAAGATGAAATGCTCAAGAGAACCAGTGTAATATAAAAGCAAGCGTGTAATAATCCTTGATTTTGATTTGAAGTGCAACTAATTGGCGTTGACACTATAACAATAATTAATGCGAGTTTTGTTTTCAACTAATTCTAATGTTTTGATGCTTATTCACTCTTCTGTTGCGGGGTAAGCGCAATGAGGCACCACGACCTCGGCCCAGAGCAGGAGAAGGAACGGGGGGGTGTTTAGAGTCAGTAAGAGTCGGACACTCCCTCCCGCCCGACCCTGGGCAGGAGAAGTCATTTGATGATTTTCCCCTCACAAAAAAAATAACTCTCACTTATATTGAGATGAAATGTTTATCCTTTATGGAAATTAATAATGGGATATTCTGGATTTCAACATATTAAAAAAAAAAAACAAAATGATGAGGTATAAGACTTTTTTTGTTCATGAAGGATGTGAATTTTTTGCTATCCTGTTGGCGCCAGTCAGGATTCTAACTCCTTCATACTCATCGCAAATCTCTTGACCACTTAGAGCGTTGGTTAATGTAATTCGGCAGTCGCAACTCGGTTTAGTATTAACGCCGCAGTACCTAAGCGTTCTTTCCTCCCACGTATGTCAAGAATGCAGAAACCATAATTAATAGAATCTACTCAACATACGAGAAGACACATTCAAAAGCCTAATATTAATATTACCTTAAAAATATCCTTCTAGATTGAAGCGTTTCTTCGGTAGTACGGTAAAGAAGACTGTGGACGCGGCGAAATCTCTAGCTCAGGAAGTGTCACAAGCTCGGCACAAGGAAGACGTGGCCGACATAGCCGACGATGTGCGCGGGGAACATAATATCAAGCTCAAGGCTTCCAATTCACATAAAGGACCTTACGACTTCGATGGCTGCGTTAGACATGTCCAGGTTAGTAATATACTATAGTAGGTACTAGTATCATTGTAATTAGTATGGTTTTTCCATAAAAAATATGAATTTTCTTTTTTAACTTTTTTACACTTTTACTGTTCACTAAATAGTTAAACAATAACCTTGAGTCATATGGGATGCCTTGAAAATCCATAAAAATAATAATAATCGTATTTATATTAATTGATTTGGTGTTGTTATTGGTTTTAGTATTTTCTTTTTTTTCTGTTTAGTTAAATATATACAGCAATGAATTGAAATGTCTATAAAACTAAAACATAAGGGAAACTAAATGATCTCCAAAGCTTATAGAAAAATCAGTGTAAGCAAGATTAGTTGATTTTTTATCCCCGTCGCTGATTGTGATTTAAATGACAATGTTATAATATGATGTTTCCAGGAGATGGGTTCGGGTCACTGCGGCGCGGTGTGGTGCTGCAAGTTCAGTGTATGCGGCCGACTGCTGGCCACCGCGGGGCAGGACAAACTCTTGCGGGTCTGGGTCACTAGGGACGCTTACCATATGTTCCAGGTATGCTATACTGATGATATTATTTATTTACTAGCTCTACTCACTAAGTATCAATCGTGACACAGGAAAACCTACTACATATGTGGTTACAGAAATTAAGGCCGTCTGATCGTTAAGAGAAAGTTGTTCTTGTAATTAGTATTATTTGTTTCGGTCGTAATTCATAATCATTTATTATTTGTAAGTGTGGTAAAATAATACAATTACTGGATCAAATTCAACTTCGGTGTATTCTACACGTAAGTTATACAATATATCGAAATGGAAAAATGAAATGACGTTCTGACAAGCATACAAAGATTACATAGACAGTGGCGCGGAGGGTGGCCAAAAACTGTACTACATATATTTTTTAATTGTGACAACGGCGATGTTTACATTCTTCCAACAGTAAAACATGGTTAACATAATAATTAAGATCCTATAGATAATTGCGGTACACTGTGTTTTGTCTAAGGTAAGACATATGTTTAGCAAGATATACAAAAACGTGTATTCAAGTTAAAAAAAAAATACAAAAAAAAAATGTCAAAATTAAATTTGAACATAAAAATGTCAATGGTAACGACCAAACAATAAAAGCTCAAAGAAGTAGACTAACAACTACAATGCAATGTCCATAATATGATGACAGTCCATAACGTATTTAAATCACTATAATCGTAAAAAAAGTATATCCAAGTAATCTAAAACGGTTTTGTTACAGGACATGCGCACAAAATACAACCTCGAACAGAAATCCTCTCCAACCCCGTCCCAGGAGTCTCTAGCGTCCCTGTCTGGTCGCGCCCCATCCCCTCCTCCGTCCCCGTCGGCGCCCTTTTGTTCCGCCCCCTTCTGCGTATACGCAGGCCACTCGTCCGACCTTCTAGATGTATCCTGGTCGAAGAACTACTTCCTATTGTCCAGTTCCATGGACAAAACTGTGAGGCTATGGCACATCTCGCGCGGAGAGTGTCTCTGTTGCTTCCAGCATATAGACTTTGTGACGGCTATCGTATTCCACCCGAGGGATGATCGGTACTTCTTGTCTGGTAGTCTCGACGGCAAGCTACGGTTGTGGAATATTCCTGATAAAAAGGTTAGTTTCGTTTTTGTTTCATTTTTATTTATATGGTTCGATCCCCGGTTTAAGGTAGATTTTGAAAATCTATTCTGGAATTGAGCAGTTTATTCTGAATATTACACCTCTCCCTTGTGCGAATGTTATATTTGGTACTCCTTTGAAGAATTATGAAGTAGGACGACAGACGATCTGCGAAGGGTCGCAGAAGAAGGCTCTGGATGCAGAATGCTTCCAACCATCTGGAAGTCACTGGGGGATGTCTATGTTCATTAGTGGGCGTCTTGTGTCTGAAAAATAAAATCATCAATCATTAAAAAGAGGTTTATTAATTATTTTATAATTATCTTTTATCACAGGTCGCAGTATGGAACGAAGTGGACGGCAAAACGAAACTAATAACAGCAGCTAACTTCTGTCAAAACGGAAAATTCGCAGTAGTAGGAACTTATGATGGACGTTGTATCTTTTACACAACAGACCAGCTAAAATACCATACACAGATAGACGTGCGGTCCACACGGGGGAAGAATTCCACAGGACGGAAGATCAGTGGTATCGAACCCATGCCTAATGATGACAAAATCCTTGTGACCTCCAACGACAGTCGGATCCGCCTCTACGACCTACGAGACCTCAACTTATCATGCAAATACAAAGGTTACGTCAACGTTTCTAGCCAAATCAAAGCGTCCTTCTCCCACGACGGCAAATACATTGTAAGCGGGTCAGAGAACCAGTGCATATACATTTGGAAAACTTACCACGATTATTCGAAATTCACGTCAGTACGACGTGATCGTAACGATTTCTGGGAAGGTATTAAGGCTCATAATGCTTTGGTGACTTGTGCCGTCTTTGCACCAAACCCTGACCATATGATCCGCATGATCAGTGAGAGGGAACAGGAGGCTAAGCTAGCTGATGACGCCGCTGACAACGAGGAAGTGGTACGTAGTCTTGTTTACTCTAGCAATCAATATCATTGTTTCATTGTAAAAGTCATAATATGTCTTAATTATTATGTTTCGGCTTACTCACGTAATCATTTGACGAGATACTTGACTAGTTTCAAGCCATGCTAGAGGCCCATATTCATGAGCAGTGTCGCCGCAAAACCAACCAAAACATAATAATTAATTTAGAATGCCTGACGAAAGTCATATGTCTTGGCTACAGATCCACTCTAGACTTTTAAGATTACTTTTGTAAATACAAAATTTATTGAAAATAATGACATTGTAAATACTAAATTTATTGAAAATAATGACACTCACTTCAAGTAGGTTACTGAGAAACCTGCTGTGTGACACGCTGCTCATGAATAAGAGTCTCATTGTGATTCTAACCTAAGCAAAGCTTTCTCAGTTAATTCATATGAGTAAGCCGTATATTATGATATATTATGATAGCCTATGATGCTATCATTTGTCAGTTGCAATGCGGAAAATCTATTAATAACAATATGAATAACAATGACATTAATGTGCACATATGTAATGTGTCTATTATGACCTTGTTACGTGTGCAAACGCATCTACACTCAAATCCTAGCCTTAAACAACCACAAACTCAATCAATATAACACTTAAACTGTATAACAATAAGTCATACAATCTCCTTTTCACTTTACAGAAGGGCGCAGAAGGCGGTATGGTAGCGTCTTCTCAGACGGGCCACGTTTTAGTAAGCGCGGACTTCAACGGCTGCATCAAAGTGTTTGTGCACAAGGCCAAGCCTAAGCACAGTTCACTACCAGCTTCTGCATTGGCCTGAGACTTTAGCCAACTACCGTGGACTCTGGAATGTGGACAGATAAGTATCGTGTGCCTTTAAAGTTGGCTATTTGCGTTAAACATTATGTATTTAATAGTTTCGTTGTCTATTTATTTTGTAATCGCAGTTTTAGGTATATGATCTGTTTCTAAATGCAACCGTGAATTTGAGAAAGACAGTAAATTTTACTTGAAATCAATATTTATTAAAAAATGGTTATAGATAAATGGTTTTACCCTAAACTCTGATCCAAATGTAAATTGTTTTCGCATCGGCATTAAAAACGTGTTAATGCCATAAATTTCTTTATAGTCCGTTTAAAATTTGTAAACATTGTGAAAATCAACAATAAAGGTTTCCATACGAAATCGTATTCAAACATAAAAAAGGTTTACTGACAACGGCAGAGACATTTATAGTCAGAATTTTAATTCGATTCCTGATTTGACATTGACCACTGTCATTTTGTGAAATAATGATACCACATATAACAGTGTAGTGATGAACACAAAAATCGATAAACAATCAGTGAATCAGTTTCAGGAAGGCATTCAAAAAATTACGGCAGCCGAATGGTCTAAATGTGTATCCCATGTTTTCAGAGAAGAGGAAAAAATTAGTAAGCTAGTTATGTTAATTGACAATAAATATCACAGACACAATTCATAATAAATATTAAATAAAATAACAGCGATAGCGATAGCGATGACGGCGACAATTTATAAAATGTCTGTTTTATTTGTCACGTTCCTTCATGATCATATTTTTTATTTATTTCACACACAATTACCAAAGAAAAGTCTCAGATCGTTAATTAATTGTCAAAACAAAATTATCGGTTCATAAATATTTTATTTCCTGATAAACATTTACGAGAGTAAATTTATAAACGAGAGGAATCGATTCAGAAATATTCGATTTCCATATCGAATAATTTCGCAACGTCACTATTTATTACGTGTCATAACGTTGCAACACTGAAATTGTCAAATCTGGAATGGAATTAAAATTCCGAGCATAGACGCAATACTCATAATATAGGTACAGATCAGGAACGATACCTAATAGAGGTAATCCAAGAAAATAGTACCTCATCTTAAAGAACTTATTCGCATGATTGCAGCTCGTTTATCTCGTAATAACATTAAATAAAAATAGAACAGTATTTTAAATAATAGAAACTGAATTCTAGAAATGTTGTTATACTAGATCCAAATAGAAAAAATCTTAAAAAAAATATAGTGTCATGTACTGAATTAAACATTTTAAAAACGTGATCATAGCTATGCAATGTTGCCAAACCTCTAAATGAATGTTTTGACACGAAAGAGGCGAAATTATAATAAGATAATAATATACCTAATACTAGGATATCACATTAAAGTTCATTTAACTGTATTTTAAAAACATTGTGATAGGTGTTATTATTATCATAATCATAAAGTAACGTGATACCACAGATTTATAGAAAATTATTATTAATTTAATTGACAATTACTGCTTATTCTCTGAGATGCTCGACTATTTTCGAGCCACACCGGGACTCATAATCATGCCTACTAGGCGCTAATAAGTGCGTAATTATTAATTAAATTTAGTACATATATGGTAGTAGTGAAACAAAATATGATATCAAATATCTCCACTCGAAAAGAATGAACAAGAAAATATTTGAAACTATTTTTTTTCTACAAAAATTGTATTGTTTTGGATGTTAAAAATTTTAAGGTGTATCTAGTTAGGGGAAAATGTGATTATTGAAGGAAATGTCAAGGAAAGGAGTGTAATTAGCCGCGGGATATTCATTAACAATTTAACATAGTGTATTATAAAAATATTAAACCCGATATTATATTAGCAGCAAAATTTTATAAGGGAAATATGTTAAATCGAAATGATGACGTCATTTTTAATTATTATTAAAGTATAGCCTACTATCATCATATGAAAAAGTTAAAATCGTTCTAAGTTAATATTTTAGTCGTAATTATAAATCTTTGTGCAATTAATATTATTTTAATATCAACTCTACATTTATTGTATCAGTGATTAAATTTGCTTGTAGCCAAAACGATATTATGAAGTACTTGGATTTTATTTGGTATTTTATGTTACTTTATACTGAAGAAAAGTATTATTAGTAATACTTTACCATTGTATACAGGTTTAGTCTTTTAATTAAATTTTCTTATAGTAATGTTTGCAGGAGTAACATCAGATTTCCATAAAATCAATATGGTCTATCAGTTTAAGTAATTATTAACTAAAGTTATACAGTCTTGGCAAAATCAAAGTTATATCATATATTTCAAATAGACCTCTATAGGTACTTTTGAACATCAAACAAAAAATAATTATCACAAAGTTCAACTTTGTGTCAATCTGTCGCTCTGTCCCAATGAAGGTACTTGCTGGGCATATATTTTTATCTAAAAATTGTATGTAAAAATGTTTACAATCGGTATTTACCGAAGTCTAACTAAAATAATATTGTTAGTTTATTAAACTACATTTTGATAATTATTGTATGTATTTTGTACGACCTCTTTAATATAAAAAGACATACCAATATTGTTTGTCTTTAGATAACCACCTGAAATGAACTGATAGACCATATTATATAGACATAGACAGTTATTAAAATTCTTATAATTTTGGTAATACTTAATTCAATATTGCCTTAAAACTTTCGCCAGACAATCAAAGACGTCACTGGTGTGGATTGTATATTATTATTTATATCTTTTATACCTAAATTATTTGATAGCTTTTTTACCTTCTCATCGATGTTTTCGTGTCGACACTGTCTCTTGTGTTCATCTCTATTGTCGATACATGTATACTTATCGATAAAGTGTTAATTTTATCTTTCGTTAATTTCCAATTTCGATCCTGTTCTCATCTCAAACTAAATAGGTACTTTTTCTTTCTTCCCAATCAGACTTTATATTTGTTTTTTTCTATCATAAACTAGACACAAAATGTTTATTGGTTACATTTAAGAATGTTACCACATAATAAAAAGAACTTATGACACATTTTTCCGTATGTCGCTCTCGCATGTTTTTGCAAGCGCGCCTTATATTTATTTTCATCTTGCTAATCATGATTTATAGATAAGTATACATGTTTCGTGCAACTAACACAATGGAAATATTTATTGTAACTAGTATAGATATAAATGTATATTATATTTTAGGCTGTGTTTCTCTTTATTTTTAATGGAAACAAAATTATTCTCTTTAAGCTCTTGCCCTATGAATGAGATATTGTTTTTTATGTAATAAGTGTACATTAGTGTTGTATAAAGATCACGATGCCATCATAATTAGATTGGAATATATTTTTAAATCGCATTTACCTTCATAAATAAATAATCGTTACATAATTTATTTGTTTTAATTGAATTCTTTACATCGACAGTATCAGTGCCCATTGCTGAGCATGAGCAAAGGTCCTTTGTCACATGGAGAAGGTTTGAGCCTATGACCACCCCTTGCTCATGGCATTTCAGCGAATTTTTACTTTTAGTTCGAAGCTATAATTCCAGGATTCTTCGACGTAGATTAGTGGAGGGAGAAAAATAATAATAGAAAGTCACATTGGTACTTAACAGGTTTTGAATCCCATGAGCGCTCATGCGTGAGGAACGAATACACTCGGAACTTCAGACCCCCACGACACTTGATTAAAATCATATTTCTTTTTTATTGTTATAATTGAGCATTATGGTTATTTGTGTATAGGTATAACGAGGTAACTTATAGGTATTCAAAAATCGCTGCCCATCTAGGATTCTTTCGCACACAGAAGACAGGTCTTGGGTGTGTTTAACTGATTCGCATACACATTAAACTCGGTCCCAAAACATCAATTTGTAGATCGCATACATTTTCTAACCCAACCCGCACGGGTTCTAACACGCTACACGTAGCACAGCACTGCGCCAACCTTGTAGGGTAATTTTTTTTATAACACGTAACTTAATAGTATTTTCTGTTGGGTTGTGGGTGCGTTTTTAAACAAATTCGCATACACAAGCTACTCAGAATAGAAACGTCAATTTGTGGATCATAAAAAGTGTTCTTCCGTGTGGGAAACGAACCCGCGACGTTGCACAGCCAGTAGCGAATTTAAGAACTAGTGTAACGCGGCATCCTAAACGGTTTGTGTCGGACGCATGCGCGTGGCGTTATAGGCAACGCCACACCCCTTTTCCACTACCCCGCCACTGACCGCTCGACGCTTGCGTAGGCGCGAAACGGGAGTGACTCCCCGCGCCGGCGACCGTGACGCACGCGCCATATACTGTTTTTACTGATGATCGTGTGTCGAACCATTACAATGGCGCCCCACGTTGGGCGCCACTGTAATGGTGTATATATTGTCTCGGGGGTGTGAAATAAGGTTCGACACACGATCATCAGTAAAAACAGTATATTGAGACACTTTACAAAGGTAAATTAATAACAAAACGACAATTAATCAAGGTTCGCGGCACAAATACAAGGGCGCTTGCGTCACGGTCGCCGGCGCGGGGAGTCACTCCCGTTTCGCGCCTACGCAAGCGTCGAGCGGTCAGTGGCGGGGTAGTGGAAAAGGGGTGTGGCGTTGCCTATAACGCCACGCGCATGCGTCCGACACAAACCGTTTAGGATGCCGCGTTACACTAGTTATTATTTTGTATGGTAATGTTACCCATCTGCTTAAATCCTTTAGTCCTTTTTATATAAAAATATTCATATCAATTTTAACCGCAAGACGAAAGAAAACAAGCGAAAAATTGTTTACAATATAATTTATTTATAAACGTAAAAAAATATGGAGTGCAATCTGGAATGTTCTAATGTCTTAACAATATTGAAAACAAACGGTATGTCTTATTAAATAACTGTATATAAAAACATGTTCTTTACAATTACAATATATTCTTCCTAGCTACAAAAACCATCTTAAAAAACTAGAAATAAATTCCTATTACGAACTATGAGCATTTGGGACAGAAGATAATGGAGTTACAAAAAACGGTGGGAAACAATTTTATTAAAATCAGATCATCTAAAAAGTATTTTTTACTATAAACATTCGGATATCAGTATAATATATTTCATTGTAGAATTTATTAAAAGATGTCCAATGAAACATTACGCATAAACTCTTGTAGAAAGTAATAATAATAAAGAAGTTTAGTTTTTGTACTAGAATTTTATCACACTAAGGGCTGGTTTTTCAATAGTCAGAATTTTTTTATCTGTGGAATAAAATTGTTGCTGTCACTGTCTTATACAAACATTCTGACGCGACAGCATAATTATTCCCTAGGTAACTTTTATTTAACCATTGAAAAATCAGCCTAAAATAAATCTATCTATACAAAAATCAATCCCAATTTCCCTTGGATATGACATTACGCGTGAACGGCTTGACTAATTCCGCTAATTATTGTTTGAATATCTTTCTTATATGAGGAACAGAGTTCTTAGAAAAGGACATTTAAAAAAAACTGGGATAAAGCAACACTTTCGACCCTAGCAATCCGTGGTGGCGATTACAAACAAATTACTGACACCGAGTTAGCTACATTATAGTTTAATGTAATGGACGTAGTCATTAGCAATAATTTAATAATCGTTGCTTCATGTGTTTTGGCTGTTGTTTCGTTTACTGGCAGTCGATGTATTTAAGTTTTCCATGGCAACTATTTAGCGCATTATTATGTGACGGAATTTATTTTTTTACAAGAAACAGTATGTAATGCTTACGTTTAATATCGTAAAGGTTATATTTAGGCTTTCCAAGGAGGCTTGCTGAGGCGACGTTTGTCTCGCCGCTCTGGTTGCTCGGGTCGTTCAGCCGTGTCGGATCTGTCGGGTCGGTCGCTAGTCGGTTCCTCACTGAGCTCGCGATGTAACTCCAACATGTCGCCACTGCCGTCCAAGTTCGGTGCTTTTGTTAAGAGCTGGAATAAGATAAGTACATTATACATGGATAAATGCACGGCACGTATTAGCCGGGTCGTTAAATTTGGCCTCACAGAAAGTCTATGGGAAATAACGTGTTTTGTTTCGCCGTGTAGTTGAAGTTATCGGAAGCTCAACCCCTCCCTCTCCCATCTCCAATACCCTGCTTTGGTGTTGCTAGTTACCATGGGCGGTGCCGATTGCTACCTATCAGATGATGTTTAAATAATGCGACATCTTACGTTGTACCAGCAAACGTATCAAATCGCGTGAGCTACTGCAACTAAACAAAAATGCGAAATAAAATTTACTATTCCAAAAAACCAATGATTCAATTAGAAAAAAACATCAGGTGATCCATATGCTCGATTGCCACACTATCATATAAAAATGGCTAATAAATTAAGCGGAATTAAAATCAACATTTATTTACTTTCTTTTATAGTTAAACAAAACAAAAAAAAAGTATATATTACCAGTTTGACATACTGTTGCAGCTCGGCGTCTGTGAGGCCATCGAAGTTCAGTTTGTCGTTTCGCTCGTCCGACCGGCCGTCCATCCGTTCGTCGGAGTGGTTGTCCGTCCGATTGTCGGACCGGGCTTCCGACCGTACGAGCCCCCGCTCCGGGAGGGTTAGTGGCGGTATTTTAGTGTATTCCGACACTGGAGTAGAAACTGAAAAGTTAGATAACATAAAAACTTAAATTGAGAAGCAATAAAAACATTACGAAGTGGTTTTACAAAAGTGATTGTAAAAAAGTAATGGAGTTTTTGCTCGTTCTTCTCTGTAGGAACCCACACTATGAAACAAGCAAATAGCTTCACTAGAGGACTGAAAGACAGACTGACACTTGTTCTTTCTTAAATGTTGAAAAAATTACTTACTCACGCGAATTTACTGAGAAAAGCTCTAATAGTTTCAAGCTACAACGAGATTCTTATTAATGACTGAGTTTATTCACGTCACTAAATTGTTGTTACTCAATAAATTTATTCCTACGATAGTTACTATTACAAAGAGTTTTTTTATGTAATAGATCGGCAAACGAGCAGACTGATTACCTGATGGTAAGCAATCAGTCCCGCCCATGGACACCCACACCGGAGTAGTTGCGAGTGCGTTGCCGACCTTTTAGGGATTAGGGATTTGGGAGGGATTGGAGGAGGGGAATAATTGGGCCTCCGGTAACCTCATTTGGTCGGTCTTCTATGAGGCCGTGGTATCACTCTGGTCGAGCCGACCGATTCTTGCCGAAGCATGGCTCTCTCACACATGCTAAGTGTGGGAGAGCCATGCTTCGAGAGTTACTAAAATCGTTCATCATATTCATTACATATGGGTGTTTTATGGTTATCAAATCGCAATGTCCTGTAAATAAGAAAATATAGTGTGTAAGTATAAATGAGTGCAGTAGTTACCCCGCGCGTCCCCGTGGGTGAGCAACCGTATGGCGGCGCGGCACTGCGCCTGCATGACGGCGTGCAGCTGGCCGGCCAGCGCGCCGCGCCGGCGACGGAACGACTCCAGCTTACTCTGCGGGGAACGTACGTCACTGCTCATTTGTGACCGATATTTCAACACGTGAATTTACTCATGGTAACAAACAGCTTTCCCAAAGAAACTTTTTTTGTATAAACATTGTTTTTAATACAAAACTACAGCTGACACTCGTGAGGGCGTAATTTCGAAAGTCGTTTCTTTGGAAAGGTTGTGTTTTATCATGAGTACAATCACAACAGTTTATTTTTGAGGGGGATAAATGATCAATGACTTATCTTGCTTAGGGTATGGCAAGAGAGAATGTCAGACTCTTACTGACTAAAATCTACCCCATCCCATTTCCTGCTCCATGCCGAGGCCACAATACCTTATTGGGTTTTTGTAAACGACCAAAACATACGTTAATGTGACGTTTGTATCGACTTGTAACCAAGTTATTTAAAATACAAACAAAAGATATGTCAAAGAAATATCTTGAAATATATCTTGGATGGCTCTCATTGACGGCAAGATTGACGCGGTGGCTGGGCAACTGACTGCCTCGCAACGTGTTGCGGATTCTATTCCCGCACGAAACAAAATAACATAACTCTGTGTGATATTGTTGTTCCGGATCTAGATGTGATGTGTATGTAAAATTGTTTGATTATCGATATGTACGACACATGAGACAATGTGGGGTATCGTTTGAAAATAATATTTTTTTGAATCATTTACAAACTTAAATACAATGTGTTTATTAACAAAAGAATGTACAATTAAGTTTTCGGGGCTTCCCAAAAAGTAATCTGAAGAGACTTGTGGTGGTACAAACCTTTCATAAGTAAATGGTTTAATAATAACTAATAATTTACTTATGAAAGGTTTATACATTTGTAAATTGCATTGCGATGAGCTGATCCACGTTTGAAATGAACAATAAAGGTTTACACTACCACAGATATTAATTTTTATGTATAATTACAATTCATACATACCTCAAGTAATCCTATTTTCTCACCAGCCTGCGCTAGTTGCAACCTATATAATTTGATTTCTTCTCTCTGCTTCTCTTCCATTACATTAATTTCCAATTTGTGTCTGCAAACATAAGTTATCAAATCAACGAGCAGTCTCCAAGAGAAGTTTTAAGAGTGGTATGCTTCAGTATGAATGGGCCGGACCGACCGGAGTTATAATACGACCACACACTGAAAACCAGCATGAAACCTCACATTGCGTTTCCGAGGTTACCGAAGGCCGAAACCTTATCCGATTCCCCACTTCCACCAACTCTTAAATCCCTAACCCGGTTGTTACATAAAACTTCTGGCGTTGCAGGTGTCTTGGGCGCTGTTTGCTTACAACGATAATTGTCGCACCGTGTCTACTTAACCTCTGAATCGTGGTAATTAGAGGCACTATAGTTAGATGACAGGTGCGCAAACGCCGATGTTCGCAAATCAAATGACTTCTCCCGGGCAGGGTCGGGCGGGAGGGAGTATCAGACTCTTACTGACTAAAACTCCCTCCGTTCCTTCTCCTGCTCTAGGCCGAGGCCGCGGCCCGGGGTTGCGGGGTAAGCGCAAAAAGTAATTATTGCGCTTACCCCGCATCCCCGGGGCCCCGTCTGTGGTGGTTTATTGGCTATTAGAGGCGCGCGCGAAACACTACGCGCCGTACGCTTGGGTCTGGTTCTGGTCGGGCGGCGAGCTACCCTTACTCGCTGTCCGCAGACCCGCGCTTACGGTGGCCACCGGTTTTCGCTTGGGGTTTGATGAATTAAGGAAGATTTGGTAAAATCTCCATGCAATTAGAAACTGCAGTCTCAGAGACCTGGTAGATTGGCTTCTCAAATGTGTGTGTAGTTCTTTAATCGGCTTTGATACCACCAGCCTCGGTGGCTGGCTAAAGCAGCAATAATATATACTTCAACATAAAACTTACTGTTCCTCAATCCTTGAAATCTGCTTATTGTAAGTATCAATGAGTGCGTTTTCCTTAGCCCTAGCGTCTGCCTCCATGTCTCGTTCAGCCACGTCGAGCTGTTGCTGGAACTCCTGCAGCTTGGACAGCACGGCGTCCTCCAACTGCTTCTGATAGTGACACTTTAGCTCTGTCTTCTGAAGCTCCAAATGCTTGCGTAGAGTCTTCACTTCAGTTTCTAAGTTGTCCTATAATTTTGTATGAGTTTTTATTGATAGTTTTAGATTATAAACCTTAGAAAGAGCAAGGTTGGTTCAGTGAGTCAATTTAGTTCTTGGCATCCCAAATTATTGTGCTCATAGATAAACATATCAAACACAACAAAAACTTATGTTTATTACTATGGTGATACGATCCAAAATGGACGTAATTTTAACAAAGAACAAGTGAATGTTTAGGAAAGTTTCTCCTTCGTTTTCAGAACATGTTGAGATTATTAGATACTAAGGGCCCGCTCTGGTTTCGCACGGTTGCAATGCTGATTCTAAATTCCTTCACTATTTAATGGATCTCTTCAATCACTCTATTAAAAAAAACCGCATCAAAATCTATTGCTTAGTTTTAAGATGTTAGCGTCCATAGGGATAGAAAAAGCTACTTTGTTTTATACTATGTAGTGATAGGTACTCACGCATCTCTTCATCACTTCAGCAGTGTGGTTCTGTTGGTCTCCCATCTGTTTCTCTAGGATATTGTTCCGCGATCGTTCCTCATTCACTTTCTCCTTCAACAAGTCTCGTTCTTGCAACACAAGTGCATTCGTGTCTTCCAGAGACTGAATCTTGTTGGCTAACTCTTTTATTTTACATTTTGTCTCATGATGATCCGACTTTTCCTACAAAACGTTAATGATGAAAAATTTAAATGCACAACATTTTTTGTTCGATATTTTATTGAAAATTGGTGCGTTAAATCCTTTAAATGATTTTGGTCCTTTCCCAAAATAAAGAAGATTTCGTTGCCTGCCTTTTTGGGATTAGGGATTCGGGAGATTTATTACGGAGGGGTGGGGCAGGATGAAAGGATTGGCCTCCAATAACATCACTTACGACGAAACACTACGCTATGCTTGTTTACGATGGTTTTCTGTGAGGTCGTAGTAGCACTTCGGTCGAGGCGACATATTCGCGCCAAAGCATGGCTATCCTACATTTAAATTTTCTACTTAATGACACTGTCTCGATCGGTGGAGAAAATTACAAAAAATACACTTTTTTATCAATCACATATTACTGGTATCTGTCTCAATAGAATACATACCTTTTCTAATGCTTCCTCCAAATTTTTTATACAATCACTAGATTGTTTATTAAGTCTCATAATAGTTTGACAGTTTTCCTTCAATGCCTCTACTTCTTTCTCTTTCTTCGCGACCATTTCATCTCTTTCTTGTATGGTCATTTGTATTTTTTCATCAATATCTTTCTTCTCTGTTGTGAGTTGTTTACATTTTTCTTGATAATCATGAGCCAAGTCCAAAGCTTTGTACAGCTCAGCTTCAAAATGATTAGTTTTCTAAAAGAAAGAAGCAAGTTTATACATATAATAGTGGTAAATCATAACCACCACCAAAAACTTAGCAGAATCACTCCATTTATCATTTGAATCCACACATATGAATCGTTATCAAAGCACCAAAACAACTGTTATACAGACACTTAAATACCTTTTTACTCTTTAGCCACCTTCATATTATTCTAAGATTCTGAACTTTTGTGACACATAATTAGTGCAATTAGCATTCTTAATTCAAAATTACACTATCCTTAACTTAGTGGCTAGCCAGAGATTGTGAAACAGATGTTTAATATGTTTGAAAATAATAAAAATAAAAAACATTTCTTGAATGACATACAAAATAATTATTTGACAAACATACTTTGAACAGTTAAAATTTTAGTGTCAACAAAAATTACCTTCTGAGCTTCATCAGCAATCATCCTAAAGTTCTCTACCTCCCTAACCATCTTCTCCAGCGCTGCTCTATGCCTCTCCTCAGCCTTATCCAAGTTCCCAGTAAGTTTCAACCATGCTTCTCTCAGCTTCCCAATAGCTGCATCTTTAGCCCGGTCTACTTTTACAGCCACTGCTAATTTCTCTTGTTGTTCTAAGATCTTCTTCTGAAGTTGCTGTATCATTGATTCACAATGCTGTAAGTAATAATTAAACATGTTATCACCTCCAAAAGGTTTTACTAAGTTTGGTAACTATTGTGATAAATCCTACCAATATTATAAATGGGAAAGTTTGTGATATGATGGATGTGTGTGATGATGTCTTCATGCAAAAACAGCTGGACTGGATATTCTGGATTAATATATATGTTACGGCTAAAGGTAGGTGTGAACCTAAACTTAAGATTAGCCGGCTAAACTTAGGTTTATCTTCGAGAAGCAGCTAAAGTTCGATAACATGTTAGTTTGCGTCGTGATATTCCATCTTTAGCCGGTTAATGTGCACATTAACCGAAACGAAACGGCTAAAAATGAATATGAATATTTGTACCCGAGTCATGGATGTTTATCATATTTATGTATGTTTATCCGTTATCTAGTATCCATAGTACAAGCTTTGCTTAGTTTGGTACTAGGTTATTGGTGTGAATGTCAAAAAGAAAACTAATTAAAATTTTGTAATTGTAATAATTGTTACTTTGAATACCTACATATTACATAAAAGTATGTGTAATGAAAGTGATTATTTTTTAATAAAGTTTTCGTGTCAAACTAGTAAACATTATTACATTGTTTCCTTTTCCATTTCCTTCTACATTTTTAGCCAAGGACCTGCAGCTACACCTAAGTTTAGCCGGCTAAAGATAGAACAAACTAACATTAACATTTCGTCGAAGATAAACCTAAGTTTAGCCGGCTAATCTTAAGTTTAGGTTCACACCTACCTTTAGCCGTAACATATACAAAGCCAAACTTTTTATTAATATACCATGCAGGTTAAGCCTCATGTGGAAGCTTGTACTTACATATACCAACCAAAAAGGTTGTAATAGAAAAATAACAACAAACCTCTCTTTTTAGTCTCTCCTCTTCAAGCTTTACACTGTCTATTCTCTCTGGTCTATCTCCCCTATCCCCCCACAGTTCACTCAAGCTCAACAAATCTGTATCTATTGACTCCATAAACTTGTTTTGTAAGGAGCTCAGCTTTGCATCCTTATTATTATAGCAATAAGGTCTCATTTGTGGCATTTTGAACTCTTCTTTTTTAGGTGACAGGTAGCTTTTATTAGCTGAACCTTGATTCCTACTCTGGCTTTGAGATTTGTACTGCTCTAAGACTTTTGATGCCCTATCATATATTTTATTGGATGAGGGCCTGAATGTGTCCAAGTAACTTGATTGGGGTCTTTTTGGTGTGGATGTTGGTTGTACATCTTTATCTGAGAAATTTAGTTTTCGCATAGATGGTGTCCTAGCTTCCCTACTACATGACTCTGTTGACTCCTTTAATGTGCTGTTTGGCTGAGTTGTGCCAGTCTCTTCATTGTTACTCTTATAGTTCTCTGAAGTGGTGGGTTTCTCAGATCTGGCTGTTCCTGAATTACTTTTGACTAAATAGATATACTTATCAAGTATGCTGCTTGGTACCATCCTGCCACTTGGTAGCTTTACTTCTTCTTCATTGCTCTTGGAGTCCAGTTTTTGTGATATATAGTCTCCAGTAGCCTTTATCACATTTTCAGGACTAAGTGATGGCTCATGGTCCTTATACTTAGTATCAGGAGTTTCATAGCTTTCAACTTTTGTAAGGAATTCATCTATTTCATGTAATAATAACTTGTCATTCTTTTTAGTTGGTGTTGAAACTATACTGCTTATATCACCATCCATACTTTGTATTTCATTTATAATTTCAATGGGTTTGCAGTTCAATTGATCAAATTCAACATCTAGTTTTAAAGGTGGGATGGATTTTCTGCCAATGCTTTCCGAATCTAAACCACTGAGAGATAAATCAAACCTTTTCGACTTTTTTGTTGTTTTCCTTTTGCGCCTGCGAGGAAAAGTAAAACACTTGCGATCTAGGCTTTGGCTGTCGATACTATCGGTGGTATCCCACGTCTTCGGTCTCCTTACAGTGCCAAAACTAGATGTATCACTGTTGAACTCTAAACTTTCTAACCTAGATTCCAATGTGTGAACTTGATCCACTAATTTCCCAAGAACTTGTGCAGTGCAGGATTTGGGCTTATGTACAACGGTCCTAGAAGATTCCAATAAAGAATTTTCCGATTCAGAACTCTGTACTAAAAAGAAGTTTGGTGGTATTAATAAGAGAATATCCGTATCGTCTGTCTCACTCATCACAACTACTGCAATGTTTCTCCTTTGTAAAGTCACTGGCCATTATATAATTCAATCAATGGGTATTATTTAAAATACAGTTTCAATTTATTTGAACAGTAAATATTTATAATAATATCAGAACCATACACGCTCGACCGTTTGCGTTTGTTTTGTTTGTCTTTTTAGCTTTTTTAACTTTGACGCTGTCATTCAGATACCATAGACAAACGTCAAATTCAAAATAATTCATAGACTGCGTTCATTGTACACATAATGACCATTTATTTAATGCAGTACAAATCTTACTTCTTACTAATATTATAAATGCGAAAGTTACGATGTTTGGATGTTTGTTACTCAATCACAAAACTCAAAACAACTTCTTTTATTTTTAGATTAATGTTAAACATTTATTTATTTATTATAAGGTAGGCTCACAGCTTATGTACACAAAGTAGTAATTGGTTATAGGCAGTAGGTCATATATGTTAGCCAGTTACGAGCTAACCGACATTGTAAAAATTATTCTTTTATACAGACAAACAAGGTTATAAAAATAAACATGCAACAAGAAAATTAAATTATTTATTATGTTTTCGGCTTACTCACGTAATAATTTGACGAGAAACTCGACTAGTTTCAAGCCATGATAGAGGCCCATATTCATGAGCAGCATTCTGCGACACGCGACTCGGCGACTGTCGCGCTGCTATACTCGAGTCTGCGCGCCCAACGCGCCCTCTGCCGCGATTCACGCGAAGTTAGCGCGGTATGTAACACTGTTTTTCCGTCGACCCGGGATTCGAACCCAACACCAACGCAGCTGCAGGCGGGCGAGTTTAGCGTGCCAACAGTGTCGCGCGCGCCGTCGCTGCCGACACCATGGCATGGAAAGTGCGCGTGAATCGCGGCAGAGGGCGCGTTGGGCGCGCAGACTCGAGTAGCCAGTAGCAGCGCGACAGTCGCCGAGTCGCGTGTCGCGGAATGCTGCTCATGAATATGGGCCTCTAGCATGGCTTGAAACTAGTCGAGTATCTCGTCAAATTATTACGTGAGTAAGCCGAAAACATAATAAATAATTTAGAATGTCTCACGAAAGGTATAATAAAAAAAAGAAAAACAAAGTTAGACACAATATACATTAATTTTATTTTAACTTATACTTAAATAATAATTACACTTATATGCTTCATATACATAAGCTAACATAATATTAATATTACATTTTGAAAATCTCTGAAGCCTTCATTACACATTCATTTCAACAAAATAAATTATCAGGAAGCTCGAGCATATTGTATAGGCGATTGTTTAATAAAAGCATCTAATTTATTCTTAAACAGTTCACTAGTTATAGGCTCTCCAATGCCACACATGGGATTTCTTACAGCATATTTAACATATATTTCTCCATAGATCTTTTTTAACAATTCTCTGACTCCTTGAGCTTGATTATCAGTATTCATGACAAATTTTAAGCCAGAAGGGGTTTCAAGACAGTGCAGAGTGTACTTTGAAGTTTTGTAGTGCATAAAACCTTCTTTAGGGTCCAGTGGGGATATTTTGGCAACAAAAGACTTGATAGAGAACAGCATACCATACATTAATTTTCCTTCCTGAAACATAGTGCAAAGATTAGGGACTTGGTGAATCAAAAATATTTTCTGCTGTTTTATCTGATGAAAGTAAAACTTATGCATAGTTTTTAGAGTTCCTTTTTTTATTATTAAATTATCAAGTTCTCTGATAGGCCGGTACTAATGTATAGATGTATAAGGAATTGAACTCCTAGTTTCACTATCTATTTAACTAGTTTCCTTTCCATGATCACTGAATCATTTTCAACTTGTTAAAGTTAAAAAAGGAGGTTGGACCTCCCCTTGCATGTATGGTATTACTTGAGTCTCCAAGGCGAACAAGAGCATTCACAATTTAATTCTTTCATACGTCTAAGTATATATCATCGGTAGATATACTTAAGGGATCCCAAAGAATCAAATTCCCTAGTCTAAGAATGCATTTCACATAAATACATAAGAACAACAACTGACCTCTTCCCGCGACATTCCCGATTGTTTTGATCTATTCCATTCTCCGTAGTAAAGTAACGTGCCGTATCGATCGAATATGTATAAATTGTATATAGTCATAGTTCGTTTTTGTGCTGTTTATGTAAAGTAATGCAGTAAAGAGTAAATTCTATGAATGTTTTCACTTGCAATAGGTTTATGTTGACAATTCTGTCAATTGATTGAGTGAAAATGACGTTGACAGTAAAAAAATAACTACGACGAATTTTCTATGGTTAAGTCAATCATGAAATCTTTGTGATAAATTACTCTCTACCAATTTTAAAATTAGATTTGTGTTGATTTTGTTTGAAATAAGAAAGAAATATAAATTAGAAATTTTATAATCAAACTTAGCGATAACAATTTTATTTTAAATTGTCGGGCGGGCATCCATAGACTACAGTTTTTATCTCAAGATTTCAAGAACTCACGAATGCTGTCATTGAAAAAAAACCTTTTGACATTGATGGAACGTGAGTGGGTGCAATGGTGGGATATTTGTGATAAATTCTCCAGATTAATCAATATTACAAACCCAACTCTGTTATAAAAATTGTGAATTCAAGTGTCAATATCAAATTTAGGTAAGATTATTTTACATTGAAGATTTACTATTGGACTATAGGGATTATCATTTTGAGGTTATCTTTCTTACCTAATACATGATTCCAGGACGGAATAAAATCAATAAACATTAAACATGGATGAATATACAAGAGAACCTTGCCCGTGGCGTATTTTGGATGATTCTGGAGGTGCTTTTATAATGGGAGCTATCGGCGGAGGCATTTTCCATTCAATAAAGGGGTTCAGGAATGCGCCAGTGGGGTTCAGTAGAAAAATGGTACGTACTTATTTAAATTTTATGAATGATAGCATTAAAGTTGCGCCCCTGGTTCATTTTGTTTATGTTTTTATTAGTTTTGGTTTAATTGATTCGTATTTTGCAGCTCGGAAGTTTGGCCGCCTTGAAAGAACGCTCTCCTATTGTTGGTGGTAACTTTGCAGTTTGGGGTGGAATGTTCTCCACCATCGACTGCTCCTTAGTGTATTTGCGGCAGAAGGAGGACCCTTGGAATTCTATCATGAGTGGGGCACTCACTGGTGGGATACTTGCAGCTAGAAATGGTAATGATACCTTTATATTATACCTTTTCTTTTAATAATACCTTTATTTATACTACTACTATTATGGTAAAGCAATAAAGATATTGAATATTGAGTATATCCATACTATCATATGGAATATAATTATTTATATGCTTTTGGTTCTAATAGGAACTAGCCCAACTTAGTTACTTGGTAGAAAACAATAAAAATACAACTAGTGTTATTAGTAAACATGAATATTCAGCTCTATGTATCATGTGCTAATCTGCCAGGCAGTATCTGGTCTATACACATGTTATGTTTATTGAAAACAATAATTGAGTACTTTTATCATGTTTTCAGGTGTCCCTGCTATGGCTGGCAGTGCTCTAGTTGGTGGCATACTTTTGGCTTTAATAGAAGGTATAGGTATCATGTTCTCCAGGATAACAGCAGACCAGTTTAAACCACAGCAACCCATATTCGAGGATCCATCAGTGCTAGGTAGCCAAGGACAGGCTCAGAGTCAATCGTTCCAATAGTTTAGGTCTTAAGATTAAAACTGTTCTGATTGTACAGTCTTGCTCTAACAATCTCTTCTGTAATACCATCTTAAAACTTCACTCTTTATTATTTAAAATACGTCTTCTTTGTCTAGAATTGTAACAGTAATTGTAGAGTTCGAAGTCCTAAATTTTTCTGATGAAATAAGCAGTTTCATTGCACAATAATTAAGTCTTCAAGGCAAGACTGTACAATTGAAATTGTAAACAAATCTCTTGCCTACGTGGCATTGTATCATTAACCAAACTTTAGAAACACTTTTAGTTTGTTACTGAGTGAATTATTTGCATCTGTGATATTTTCAGTCCTGTACTGATTGTTTATAATTTCACTCAATATGGTTTGTACCCATTTCAGTTTAGGTACCAATGATTTTGTTTATGCAAAGCACAATGCAACACTAAATTATCATAAATTTGTATTTTAAAGAATATTGCATACTCCTTTCGTATCCCTCTACTTAATTATTTGTTCCCATAAAGTTAGAGGGCTCGTAATGTCAGTTTGTTACTGGCTGATGATGAAGATTATTTGTTCCATCTTTAAATTAGCTGTAAAAAATGGCATGGATGGAGTAGGTAATATTTTTTGGAATGTTCCCAGAAAATAGAATTTATTTAAACAATAAAGTTTTTTTATTAATCAATGTTTTTTATTTATCCACTTTGCTTTGAGTTTACTAAATATTTACATATAAAACCTTATGTTAAATTGTAATAGTACTTGTACTCACTCCAGGTTAATGGAGAGGTGATCACTACACTGCGGCAATACAACAAATTAAATCATAACATTTAAGTTGAATCAGCAATTAACCTCTCATCTGTGGTAAATAGGACACATCAGTAAAATTAAAAGAAAGTTCATACAACACTATGTGTAAAATTATTTTGTATATTTTGGGGCACTATGTAAAATTACAGTCTAGGGAAGGAATACAACAGTCAGTAACAAGACTAATGGGAAATGAAATGTTACTGGTACTTATAATACTTTTGAGGGTTTATCAAAAAACTTACCTTTTAAAATAAAATGTTCATAATTACATACCCTTTACATTCATCATAATACGTTAAGTTTTGCAGTAATATTTCTGTGCATTCATTAAAATTCTACTATACTTCTTTTAGATTCAATAAATATGAAGACATTGAGTACAGTGTTATAAAAATAGATGAATAATTTAAAGCATTAGACATTGGGGCAATTTGTTACGACGACAAAGTTTAATTACTTAATTCTATGGATGTAAATTAACAGGCTTGCTCTGAGCAGCGTTGTCTCCCATTTTCCTTATTTCTTTAATAACATGGGCCAATACTTCAGGATCAACGCCTAGTTCACACAGCCGTATGCAGATGGAAAGAGTATCTGCATCTAATCCAGTACAAAGAAGTTGCGATATCTGGTACATCATTTGAAAAGCTTCACGTGCTTGCCCCACTTGGGCATTCTTTTCTGATGTCATTGTGGCTATCTAAAAGCATAAACATAACATTATAGTGAATGAACACTGCACTGAACTTTAGCTTGTTTAAATTTTTAAATATTTACCTTGATAATACGCTTTGTTTACTATTTGCAGGGAGTGAGATTCGTTTTCCGTTACAAACAGTTAGTTCAGATTGCATATAAATTCAAACGTTATCTTCATTGGTCTCGTTTTCTGTTTATTTGAATCTCTACTAAATTACAATAGAATGCAATTTGTCAATACCACATTGTCAAAAATGTCAAAGTCATAGACAAAAAACGGAACTTCTATGGCGACGGTGTCACGTTTCATTTTGTTTTTCCTCTGAAATAACAGAAAATGGAAGTGTTTTATAGTGAATAATAATAGCAAAAAATTGGCAATTTGGTTTATTAAGGTAATAAAATAAGCTACAATAAAAAGTTATGTTCAAGTCAGTATTATGAATAATAATTAATTTTAAATATGTACACATTATCGTACATTTTAAATATATAAATATATTTTTTTTGAATACCGTGTAATAAACTAATTTAAATATTATTTTTATTAAAAGCTAAACGTAATGTATATGTACTTTACTTACTCAGTCAGGTTTTAAAACACCTAGGTTACCTACCTAAAAATATACTGGGCAAATGACTTTCAAAATTTGGCAGACGTTGGATTCGATGAAATGACCATAGAACTCAGTGGTGAGCAATGGGGATGCTTATGTCTCGCCTTGCAGTGGACGGAAACGGGTTGATGATGATGTTGAACTACATGTTTTTTTACGTATGAAAAACCATTTTTTCTTCATCGCATGGCAATAAAAGCAATTTAGTTGTTGTTTCTCGTTTTTACTTGTAGGTAGGTAGGTACATGGGGACCTACCTATCTCCATACAAGCTAGTATAGCATATTTTGTGGGTACCTAAATACTTACGAATATCATATAGTCGTACCAATACTATAGACACCTACTTACACGCAATTGAAACTCGCGCGGGAAAGTTTACGAATTTCACGACGCTCTGTATTTTCTATTTTTGTATCAGTGCGTCTCAAGTCCCAAAAATAGACGTTCAAGTTTTGAACATAGTGTAATGTTCATTCTCTCGGCTTTTGAACGTGATTTTTAGTTGTGAGTTTGTCAGGACACATATTACGAATCTATATTATGGTAAGTAAAACTTTTTGTTTAAGTCGGTTGCTATATCTAATGGTGATTGTTGTCAGTCGAATTTGTCTTTGTCAAAAGTGTTTAGAACATTGCGCTTTCGTGTTTATAAAATTGCGGCGGATATCCAAAAGATAATAAAACTATTTTACTTCTATGTAGGTAATGGTTGCTAAGCTTGATATATGAGATGAGATCTATATGGACAAGAGTTCGTGGTTACGATTACGAGGAAGCGGCGAGGGTATTTTTTCAAGTAGGTAGCTAGGTACTGTAATAAAATGCGCTAATAATCCTATTCATTCAAGAAGGTATTACATTTTACCTTCCATTGCGTGCTTACTTTAGGGGAAATGGTGTACCATTTGCGTAAATATAAACCTAGGGAAGATATAGGTAGGTACTTACATGGATAAATAGAAAAGATTTCTAAATATAAGTAATTGTTATTGAGCCAAATTGAATTTTAAATGGTTATTTTTCTAACCTAGATACTTAATTTCGAAGCCTCATCAATATAGGTACCTTCTTAGGTGTTTCACAAGTATGGAATGTTATACTTAGTTAGTTAAGAAGGTAGTGGGACTAAGACAGATTTACAAAGAATAATCTGGTTCGGAAATGACGTTGCATTTTATGGAATTATGAAGTAATTTTTATACTTAGGTGTCACTGCGTGATCAGTTAGGAATGTCGTGAATGATGTCGAATGATTTGTACTAAGTCTTTTTCCTGTCTCTTTTCTTTAATAAATTTAGATCGTACATTGTAGGGGCGGTTTTTTCCAGTTAACATCAACCTTCTTTTTGTATACAATAATAGGGCTTTTTTTTGTCAGGGGGAAATCATCCAATGACTTCTCCCGCCCAGGGTAAGGCGAGAGAGAGTGTCAGACTCTTACTGACTAAAAACCCCCCCGTTCCTTCTCCTGCTCTGGGCCGAGGTCGCGGTGCCTCATTGCGCTTACCCCGCAGCCCCGGCTAAACATCAGCCCTTTAGGGCCCCGACTGTAGTGGTCTATTGGCTCTTTGAGGCGCGCGCGGAACCCTACGCGCCGTACGCTCGGGTCCGGTTCTGGTCGGGCGGCGAGCTACCCTTACTCGCCGTCCGCAGACCCGCGCTTACGGTGGCCGGAGATCATCTCTCGATCCCCGACGTCCGGAATGTCGCCTTCTGCGGCGGCTGGGGCGCGAGGAGGATAGTTCCCTCACGCGTTCCGCCTCCTCCTTTGCGAGCATAACTGCTTCGCAGAAGGAGGAGATAGCTTCCCAGTTCCTCTCACGCTGCACCATGGCCTCGATTAAGGCCGGGCGCGAGAGGTCGCCGCCGCCGATCACTTCCCTGAGAACACGGCGGTGCTCAGCCCAAGCAGGGCACTCCGCCACCGTATGCTCCACCGTGTCCTCCAGGTGATCCTCACAATGACGACACTCGGATCGTTTCCTCCCGCTGGATCCGAAACAGGAACCTACCAAAGCTGCCGTGCCCGGTAAGCACCTGCGTCAGGCGGAAGGTGAGGACGCCGTGGCGTCTCTCAAGCCACTCCCTAAAGAGGGGTCCGCTATACAATAATAGGGCTGAAATCTTCTTTTTGGAAAAAAGCCCATTTTATAAAATAAAGATTTAAAAAAAAAATCAACCTTCTTTTCGTAGTCTTGACTGAAGAAGGTGTTTTGTATTTAGAATATTTGAGTAAATAAAGAATAGTATCTACAAAAAATAAGCCCTTGGTTAGCTTTTTTGACTTCAAAAATATTTTGTTAACTTTCTTCAATTTTTGAGAAGGGGTTGCAACGGATCTTATTATGATAAGAAATCGTTGTCGCTCATTTACACCGGCAACACAAGTTAGTAATTGCGTTTTGATAGCTTTTTGAGGGATTTGACAATAATAAGATTTGGGGATTGGTTAGACAACGTAGGTACTAACTTAATTTTTGTTTTTACCTGTTTTCTGTGACGATTTACTACGATGGAGTCGGCCAATTCGTGCCGACTCTTCTGTTTCTCGTTTTGAATTGAAACAAAAAGCAAACATCTTTCTTTCCTATCATGAAATGACAATATCCCAATCAATTTACATCTTAAGACTTCGTTGGCGATATTACACTTGCACGATTTTATTTTCAAGTCCAGAACTTTGGGTTATTGGTATTCACCTCATGGCCTTGAGATCGTTAATACGGTTGTGTTAAAGATTTTTAGGGGTCGCTCTGGGAGGGCACTCTTTGTCTATTTTGTCACGTTTACCTATTACAACGTTTCTATTCTATATTTCTAAAGATAAATTTATAAATATTTTAGTAGGAAAGGTTCAGTCTGTATTTTCGGGACGAGTCTGATTTTTCTGTTGGAGTCTTGTAATTTGGGTCAAGAAATTTTGTGACCTTAATTTTATTTTTTATTTATTTATTTCTATCACGCGGTGTCAAACGACGATGCGTCCTACAATGGAGCGCGCCTGCCCAAAAGCAACTTATTCACTCGAGTCGTGAAGAGGAGATTTAAAAAAGAATAGAGCAAAATTATAAATTCTACGCAGACGAAGTCAGGGGCGAAAACTAATTAAATACTAGAGCCAATACAAGCGCTAAGGCATTATTTAATGCGCTTCCATTCCTTCTGTCTAGTTCAATTGAAATTTTAATTCCAATATCGGATAGTAATCGGCTCTGTATTGCAACCCTTTTGATCTCACCTAGCGTCCTGTGTAATAAAACAATAAATATTTTTTCTCCAATGAGCTGACCTTTTTTTTAGTGATTGGACGGCAAACCATCTTATTGATTACCTGATGGCAAGCAATCCTCGCCGCCCATGGACATCCGCACTAACAGTAGAGTTACGAGTGCGTTGCCGCCCTTTGGGTATAAGGGTTTTGTGGATTTAGGAATTGGGGGAGGGGATGGATTGGGCCTCCGCACACACACGGCGAAGCACAACGGTGTGGTTGTTTCACGCCAGTTTTCTGTTAGGCAGTGGTTTCACTCCGGTCGAGCTGACCCATTCGTGCCGAAACATGCCTCTCCCACATTTGATATAAATTGTGATAATTTAAAACTATATAGAGTAGCTCCTGAGGAGAAATGTTCACATAAGTACTACCTACTACTAGTAATTACGATAATAATTTGCCTATGAATGAAAAAATATTTAGTATAAAAATATAATTAAATATAGTTTACATCTTTACTCTTCTGTGCCAATTAAGTACATTTTTTATTTATTTAATAATTTATGAATACACAAACAGCACAGAGGACAATACATATATAAAATTAGAGTACCTACATAGGTTTTATTTTCTGTTGGATTATTTTTTTTCAGGCAGATCAAGTGCAAACCCAATGCCCGGAGTCTGGAGAAGCTGGAGGAGGAGAGGCAGTCCCAGCGCCACAGCCACAGGCTGTTGAACAAAATAAACCTGTGAGTTAATAACTATTTTCGCGCATTGGAAGAGTTTTGTTTTTTTCTTGACAATTTACGAAAATGGTCTAACGATAGATAGGTATTTATTTATTTGTGTATTTATTTGGACAATCAGTAGTTGTAACATTAATTCGTCTTAACTTAATATTATTCTAAAATAATAGATAAATGCACAACATTTTAAGATGTCACAGCGTGCGTCATAAGGTAACACAGGTTTTATAATACCAATTCAGTAATTATATAAAAATAATAATAACAAAACAAGAAATAAAATGAGAACAAAGAAGAAATGTAATCCAATTTAACGATCTTGTTTTAATCGTAACAACTCTAAAACAACTTTTTTAAATGTGTATAGCTTGTCGCCGAACACATCCACTTCACCGCAAATAGAATTATATGCTTTCGACAAGCGATTTATTGGAGAAAACTCTTTTATTGATATTTAGGTATATTGTTTTAAATTTCGTGTCGTCAACTGGGCAAACTCTTTATCTACCTATAGGTAATATTTACTGTTGTCGTGTATCTCCTGATAGACTCGTAAACTACATAGAACTAAGTCTTATAAAGCTTTCATAGAGTTCAACTACATAAAGATTCTTAATTTATGATGTGAAATTGTAAAGCATTTGCCAATAACAAAAAAGGTTGTGGTCACAGCTACTAGATAAACTGCTTTGACTGCACGGTTGGCGCGGTGGCTGGGCAACTGGCTGCCGCGCAACGTGTCGCGGGTTCGATTCCCGCACGGAACAACTCTTTGTGTGATCCACAGATTGTTGTTCCGGGTCTGGGTGTGATGTGCATGTGAAATTGTATGTTTGTAAACGCACCCACGACGCAGGAGAAAATCCTAATGTGGGGCAACGTTTCTTTTTTTTTTTTTAAAAAAAAAACGGCTATGTACGAGTCGGAGCATGGACATACTCATTAACAATCATGCAAATCGTTTATGCACTTATGAATTAGATTTCCTTTTTTCTGAGCATCAGGACTTTGGCCTTAGGAAGAAGTCGGACACGATTTCTTCTAATTTATAATAGTGAGTTTCGATCCAAACCTATTTCAATCACAAGTGTATTAAGGTTGTGGGCATGCCCATTGTGCCCACAACGGTGGATCCGCCCTTGCATAGGTTACACCTATCACTTATGATTCTTCTGTTCGTTTGTCCTTTATTGCATTAAAGAGGTTTCTGTAACATTCTTGACCTATTTAATGATGAAGTGACGAACGAAACAACTTAAGAAAAAAACGGTATATGGATTCGTGTTCCCATTTTAAAATAAATTTATCGCCTTTCACAGGCTGTCGAGACGAACGCTCAGCCAGATAGTAAACATGAAGAAGTAAAAGTACAACAGGAAGTAGCGAACACCAAGCCTGTCGAACCAACCGTTGAAACAACTGTAGTCAAAGAAGTTTCCAATAATGCTAAAGAAAATGTAAGTATTGGATTTGATACGATCTCCGGCCACCGTAAGTACGGGCCTGCGGTCGGCGAGTAAGGGCAGCTCGCCGCCCGACCAGAACCAGGCCCGAGCGTACGGCGCGTAGCGTTCCGCGCGCGCCTCAAAGAGCCATTCGACCACCACAGACGGGGCCCTAAAGGGCTGATGTTCAGCCGGGGTTGCGGGGTAAGCGCAATGAGGTACCGCGACCTCGGCACAGAGCAGGAGAAGGAACAGGGGGGTTTTTAGTCAGTAAGAGTCTGACACTCCCTCCTGCCCGACCCTGGGCGGGAAGAGTCATTTGATGATTTTCCCCTCACAAAAAAAAAAAAGTATTGGATTTGATAAGAAATACAACATAATAATATATAGGAACTCGTAAAAGTAACTTTAAACAATCCTTTGTAATAAATTGTAAGTTTTTCCTAACTTTTCCCCAATTTTCCCCTCTACTTTTCTAATATTTTCTTTCATAAGAACCTTCTCCTGACAATAATAAATACAAAACAAAAGGATTTGGCAAAAACGGTCCAGCCGTTTGTGAGTTATGCGCTTACCAACACATTTTGCGATCCATTTTATATATAAGAAGACTAGGTTAAACCCCCGGCATCACTCTCTTCATTTGACTACCTAACTACACTACCTTACCTGGTTATCTATCTACTATCTACTCTACTTAGCCTATCCTATCTTCTTTTTCTGGTTCTAAACTACATTCACACCAATTCTCTACGAAATAGGTTCAGCCGTTCTTGAGTTATAAATAGTGTAATGTTACTAACACAACTTTCTTTTATATTATACATATTCTCTCTTTTTGTACTCTTTCCATGTTTACCATAAAATGATGGGCTTATGTGGATATTAAGTGCTTTATTAGTATGGGTCTTCAAACCTTTATTTAATTCGTAACTTTTATTATATCACAGCTCGACTGGCAGCATAGAGAACAGGAACTCCTAAAAAAGATTGAAGAATTGGAAAAGATTAAGAGTGAGAGGACCGAAGATGGAGTAAAATTAGAACTGAAGGTGAGTAGATACTTCAGCAAAAATTAAGGCATGTTTGTGTCAGGTCATGTCAAAGGAATTTTGCGGGTGCAAGGGCAATAATGGACCTGGCCTCAGCCTGGAGCGGGAGAAGGAAAGGGGTGGTTTTTATTTAGTAAGGGTGCAGTCCCATTGAGGCTTGAAAGCAAGTGGCATCTCTAAGAGATGTGGATTTCAAGCCATGTGATTGGTGAATCGCGGCACAGCTCTCCTCCGCTCTGCTCCGCTCCGCTTCAATGGAACTGCACCCTAAAAGTCTGATATTCCTTCTTGATCAAAGCCATTTGTTGATTTTCTCCTTTTCCTAGAAATGCAATCTGAGGCTCTATTCATAAAATTGACACATAACGTAGGCGTTGTTTCACCCCGGTTTTCTGGTAGGGCCTGGGTCTTAGAACAACAATTATCTACTTAAAATTTATATATCTAAGTCGTTTCGTGGTGTTTTACAAACTGGGCTTCTACTAGTTGTGCAAAGCTAAAAATGAAGTGGAACTACTCTCTCCTCCCATACAAAAATGCGCCGTCATCGATGCACAAACAAGTGTCCAGGATATGCGCCCTTTAAAACATAAAAGCAATGCACCGATTCTTACTTTTTTGCCATGATACAATTCTATTGGTAATGATGCCATTCAAATACGCCACTTAAGTCTATTCCGCACCTGACCTTTATAATGAGGCCAGTAGAGTTGTTTACTCTATCTAATGAGGTTATTATCATTAATATTCATTTTATAAATCCACTTCGTGGAGACAGATCTTCCATTATCCATCATTAATACTTATTTGTACTTAGACTGTAATAATTGAATCGTCCTACTTTTTTTTTATTAAAACGTGGATCCAAAGGTTCGTGAAGAAGAGATCGATCTTCTAAAAGCAAGAGTCCGGAATTTGGAGACTGAACTGCAGGCGGCTCTGTCGAAACCCAGCGGCAAGAATCACGAGATGATTGAAAACATCAAACAGCAACATGAAGAGGTTTGTATTAATGAAGCATTTGGAACCTTAAAATACATAATTATTGGTCATTTTAATTTGCGTAGTCTGGGTAGTATTCCTTAAATGCCTCACGTTAATTAACTGGGTAAGACTCTACTAGTTTCAAGGTTTCAAGGCACAAAGGGATTCATGAGCAGCATGCGTGTCGCAGCCACGCGATAGCTTTTCCGACTCGGGAGTTGGACCAAATTTTACGTACGGAACAACTCTTTGTGTGATCCACAAATTGTTGTTCCGGGTCTGGGTGTAATGTGTATGTTTGTAAACGCAACCACGATACAGGAGATTATCCTAGTGTGGGGATACGTTAAAAAAATATTTGACTAACTATTACATAGTGACCGACTCGAAACCTTGAGATAATAGTTAAGTCTGATCGGCGGATTAATAAATGAGTTTGGTTCCATTTCAGTTGCTCAACAAGGCTCGAGGCATGATCTTCGACAAAACAAAGATGGTTAAGAATCAGGAACTGCAGATTGAGGCCCTAACAACACAAGTACAGTCTCTGAAGGACATCAACGTGATTACTAAGGATTTGTTGGAAATCAGAAACTCTGAAGTGAAAGCTATGGAGGTAAGTTTTGACAGAAAGTATACGTATTTTGTTCGAGATCCCAATGTTGATCTCTGTGGGAAATGGATACTTATATTTTGTGGTCGAAAGGACACGGATGGAGGCTGAGTTTTCCGGCTTTTTTATGTAATGGTTCTAGAGATTTTTTTTACGTTAACCCGAACCGAATGTTTGAAGGGATATAAAATGTTTGGACAAAATTTGTTGACGTTGTCGTTATGTTCTTGTTGCCCTCTTAAACGCTGCTTAGAATCCAATATAGAAAAAGGACTGTTTTAATTGATTGCACGGAGGAAGCGAAATTGATTGTGCGGTTAGGAATCCAGTTGCTTTGACTCACAGAATTATGCTTATTTGATCGAAAGATTGTGTCACATACACGTGAAATCGTGTAATGAAGAAAATATTAGGGAAACGTTTTTGACAAAACTAAAATCATGACCTTCCACCCACATCAGAAAACGCCTTTAGATATAAAATTTATTTACAATAATACAAAAATAGAAACCGTTAAAGAATTCAACCTACTCGGCCTATCCATAGATACAAATTTAAATTGGAAATCACACATTAAAAAAATCAAGTCTAAGTTGTCAAAATTTGCCTACGCCCTCAGTGAAATAAAAAAATCAACAAACCTCTCCACTGCTCTGGTTACATATTATGCCTATGCATACGCATGGTTGAACAACGGCGTAATTTTATGGGGAAATAGCACAGACGCACAAACACTTTTTATACTCCAAAAATGACTAATTAGAATACTAGTTTTTTTTTTTTTTTTTTTTTTTTTGTGAGGGGAAAATCATCAAATGACTTCTCTCGCCCAGGGCCGGGCAGGAGGGAGTGTCAGACTCTTACTGACTAAAAACCCCCCTGTTCCTTCTCCTGCTCTGTGCCGAGGTCGCGGTACCTCATTGCGCTTACCCCGCAACCCCGGCTGAACATCAGCCCTTTAGGGCCCCGTCTGTGGTGGTCTATTGGCTCTTTGAGGCGCGCGCGGAACGCTACGCGCCATACGCTCGGGCCTGGTTCTGGTCGGGCGGCGAGCTGCCCTTACTCGCCGACCGCAGGCCCGTACTTACGGTGGCCGGAGATCGTCCCTCGATCCCCGACGCCCATAGTGTCGCCAGTTGCGGCTGCTGGGGCGTGAGGAGGAGGATTGCTCCCTCACGCGGGTCGCCTCTCTCTTTGCGAGCATGACTGCTTCACAAAAGACGCGAGAAGGAGACGGCGTCCCAGTTCCTCTCACTCCGCACCATGGCCTCGACTAAGGCCGGGCGCGAGAGGTCGCCGCCGAATTAGAATACTAGTTAACATAGACAACATAGAGAGCTGCAAACCCCATTTCCAAGAACTCAAACTTCTAACACTACCCTCTATATACATCCTGGAAATGTGTAAATTTGTTAGAAATAACGAAAAACTTTACATTACACGCGAAAACACACAGACTCACTACACCCTACGACACAAAAATAGACTAATCCTACCAGGTTCTAAGCTAAAAATACACTCCACAAGCACTTTAGTAATGGCAGGTAAAATATATAATAAATTACCAGATGACATTAAAAATGAACAAAAATGTAATATCTTGATAAATAAATTAAAAAAACTTTTAATACATAAATGCTATTATAATGTACAGGAATATTTAAATGATACATTTAATAAATAAAGTAAAAATAACACTGTAATCTATACCTAATAACAATTATAATGTATTTGTTCTCAATTAGTTATAAGTTATATAAGCCTACCTACATAAAAATAACTAAAAATTGTAAACATATATTTATACTAGCCCTCCTCATAAAAAAATACTACTATTGTTATGCCCGACAAATATAAGTATGTAAATCCTTATGTACCCTACCACCTAAGTTCACATTGTAAAATGCAATAAATATATTGAGTATATTGAGTATTGAAAAATGTCAAGTTTATAGGGGCTTTATCTACGTTCATCCTATTCCGAAAATTTGCGAAGTACGATGCAGCTAGACGGCGAGAAGTATAAATATTTGTAGCTAGCCCATGGCCGGTAGTTAAAATTTTGTTCATGATATATTCTAGGACCGTCTTCAAGCGATGGAAGCGAGGTTTAAGGCCGAAAAGGACAGATACGGGCTGGTGTTACAGCGAGCACAGACCAGCACCACTCTCAATGACGACTTGAAGAAGGAGTACGAAACCCAACTCGCCATTTTCAAGGTATGTAGTTACAAAAGATTGGGTTCTTAGTTTAATAGCCTGTAGTCACATTTTTTTATGGAGAAGGCGTTGTGATCTTGTGCATGATGATTCTTTAATGGCGGCCAACCATTTGGCGGGAAAACAATGTGTCATTTTTTGTTAATTTATTGAACAGTGATGAAGATGTCCAAAGAGGTTATAAACAAATAGGTGGAATTGAAATGAAACTTAAGCGTAATAAGCGTTATCATACTATAATAATGTTATTAATAAGATTTCGTTTTTTTCATCGTTGGACGTAAGCTTTTCAAATAGCACTTACAATTTATTTTACAGGAACTTAGAGAGAAATACGAACAGAGGGTGCAAGCGCTGGTAGCCGAGAATGCCAGGTTGAAGGAGGTTGCTGCCTTGAAAGCCGGTACATCTGGCTAGGCTTTATTTTATTTTGAGAATTATTTCTAAAATGTAAAGACTGTTTCGATTAGCAACACGTTGGTTTATGTTTCTTTAGAATTGCATTTTTGTAATTGTATAACGACTTTTGAAATAATGAGATTCTGTTTTCAAAATTTACCATTTTTATAGGTCGTCATAAAAATGAGACAGAATTGTTTTATTTTTTGCAATAATACTTTTGGAAGAATGCCTAAGTTAGTTACATAGCACTTATATTTATTTATGTAATTTAAATATGTTTTATAATAAATTTTGTTGAAAACGATTCCGTTTTACCTATCTACACTTAAAAAATAAACACTTATACCAGTACTTAACCTCAAAAATAGAAACACATGTTACAAGAATGACATTAGATAACTGTTTTGATAAATTGACAACTTGTCAAAATACGTTTATCGAAATGCCAAAATCTATTTTTTTTCTAAGAATATTGTATGAATTACAGGCAGAAGTTTTGTGACGTAATTTTTCTTTATGCCGGTCGTCAAACAAGCAGGCGGAATACCTGATGGTAACCAACCTGCCCATGGGCATTACACATTTGTGTTTCCGGCCTCTTGTGTGGGCTGTTAGGGATTAAAAGATGGATGGATGAATATGACGATTGAGGATGTAGGGGGAGGGGGAAGGATGGAGGAGGGTAGGATTGGGCTTCCGGAACCTCACTCACACGGCGAAACAACGTAAATGTTGCTTCACGCTGGTTTACTGTGAAGCCGTGTTATTTACCGGTAGAGCCGGCAAAGTCGTGCTGAAGCATGGCCCTCTCACACTTAATATCATCCCATTTCTCCACATCGTATTTTTTCAATAAATAAAATATTATTTCTTATTTTTTTTGCTAGACGAGCTTACGGTATGTCGTCGAATCAATGAATGCAATACAATTATTTTCGAATATTTAATTGCGACTAAACTTTTCATTTGTAAGCTGCACCGGCAGAGTCACGTTCATCAAAAGTTAACAAAAAACAGTATTATTTTGGTGTAACTCATACACCTGTTAGAGGTAGGTACAAGTGGAGCGTGGCTATTGCGCATGCCAGTGTTTGGGAATGTCAGGCCAGGACGCGACCAGTACCGTGCTAATATCGAAGCGGCAAAGACGCTTGTCCCTCGCACGGTATTCTCCACACGCGCACTTACGATAACGACAAAAACATTCATAACAGAAACTAGTGTACAACTTTTTATCCACAAAGTGAAAAAAGCTATAAAATCCCATATTTTGCGGTTTAAAAATCAATTAATTGAAAGAAGAGTGAAGATTTGGTATAAATTTAATAGTTTTCAAGTTATTTGAATTGTAATTTGGAGAAAATGTGGTGGATCCTGCGTCGGGCCCGGCTCACCGGAGCTTCCCTGTTCAGCCAAGCCACAGGGACCAATAATAACAACAATGTTAAAACAGGTAAGGACCTATTTATTTAATGATTTTGTCATACAACTTTTGTTTTAGGCTATTTTGTGAATAAGTATTTATGTAGATATTTTGGTTTAGTTTATGAAAACTAGGAAAAGGTAGAAAGGAGTATTTATTTGCAATAATTCTGAAAAGATATTGAGTATTGAGATATTTGTGTGGCGACACTACGTAATAGTGTGGTTATTTGGCACAGGATACTTTCAGAGCATAAGTTTACGCGGGCCGCGTTTGCATAAGACCTTACAAGTTAACATTATGGAAACTGTTGAACTAATATTAATGAAACTTGATACTACCACGCAATACATATATCAAGTTTTAAAATTCTCTTTTGTGCCTTAAAGGATTAAGTCTCCTGAATAAAATTTAGCGAGGGAAGACGAAACTATTTAGTGTCTTTTTCTCTTCAAATAATATCTTCTAATTTATTTTCTTACTGGACCCGGGTCTGGGACGGGCCGGTCTTCATGTATCTTCTTTAGATCATGGCTTAAAGAAGTTGCAAGAGTTAGGCTGTTGTGGCGAGCTTGTCCAAACAAAAAATGGTATAAGAAAAGTACAATTTCAAAAATATCCTTTTGGTGAACATTTACCTATAGGCGATTTTTGGTTTGTATTGAAACTTAAAATTGCTTCTGTCTCTCTAAACTCTTTTTCGAAAATGTTCTTAATATCTATAGGTATAACGTCTTAATTTCAGTCAGATATTTACCTAAGTTCTTCCGGCGCGTCTATAAGATAATCCTGTAGGCTTTGGGTATTGAAAATTAGATCATAAGCCTTTAGTCCAAAGTTCAAAGCGAAAGAAAAGAGAAACATGTCTATGCTGTAGATACTAAATAAAAGCTGAAGAGTTTGTCGAAACAATATCAGAAACTACAGGTTTGAATTTAAACGTACTTTTCTTGTTAAATTTCTCAAGCAAGGCTATATAACTTCACGCTACGACTAATGGAAGCATAGAAATATCAGTTGAGGAAACACCAGGAAAAATATAGATTATAAACCTCTTTAAAACTATTTGTAATGCCTGTTATGCACTTAAGAAATATTCATATTTCATACACCTTTTGCGAGTCATCAAACCCTTTTCAGGGACTTGTAAACACGGAAGACGATTATTATGCATTAAATTCAATACAACATATTACAAGTATAGATTAAGTATTATGTATGTATTTACTAAGACTAATGATGGGTTTTTCTTACTTAACGTCGGACTAATTAAACTAAAACGGACATTTAACAACATTTTAAAGTTTCTAATAGGAACTGAAGAGTCAGTTACTCAGTTCACATAAGTATTGTGAAGAAGTATAAAAACATTATTAATAAATAGGTGTACATAGTTATTTTTTGAGCAGGAAATATCATCTACCGGGTTCTCCCTTGGCTGGACTGTCAGACTTTTTGACTAAAGACGTCCCTGTTCGTTCTTCTGTTTCGTATCAGGCCCCAGCACGTCATATTGCGCTTGGACTGGCAACTCCGGCTGGTCCGAAACTAGGTTAAGTGCAGTTTAATAAATCATAATCGGAATCTGTCTATCGAGTATCTTGTGTTAAATTCAAGGAAGAGTAACAGAGACTGCAAATAAGCATATTACAATTGAACAAATAATGACGTGCATATCAAAAATTGTTTAATCAAGTGTTCCATACTATGTAATACAATTGAGTCTACTAACACCTACCTACGTCTGTAGTTGTAAAATTATAAGTTATGTATTATTATAGTTTTGTATTGAGTTTTAAATTTAAATAAATAATATAAATTTTGTGGTAGTTTCGCCTGTTGCGGCGGCTGGGGTGTGAGGAGGAGGATTGCTTCCTCACGCGGGCCGCCTCCCTTTTTGCGAGCATGACTGCTTCACAGAAGGAGGAGACGGCGTCCCAGTTCCTCTCACTCCGCACCATGGCCTCGACCAAGGCCGGGCGCGAGAGGTCGCCGCCGCCGATCACTTCCCTGCGGACACGGCGGTGCTCAGCCCAGGCAGGGCATACCGCTACCGTATAGTGTAGGAGAGTCACGCTTTGATTCTTCGATTCACGAATGGGTTGACTCAGCCGGAATAATATCTACCACGGCCTCTCAGAAAAATCGTTATGTTTTGCCTTCTGAGTGAGGTTACTGTAGGCCCAATGTTTAACCTCCCCCAAGCGGCGCTTACCATCAGGTAATCTGTCTGCTCGTTTGCCGACTTATCACACAAAAAATGTTTGCTTCATACTTATAAAAATCTGGCTATTTCTACCTATCTGGCCATCGTAAGCGCGGGTCTACGGATGGCCAGCAAGTGTAGCCCGCCGCCTGACCAGAAGTAGATCCGAGCGTACGGCGCGTAGCGTTCCTCGCGCGACTCATAGAGCTAATAGACCACCATAGACGGGGCCCAATTAGTTAGTCATAACGTTACATAAGTCGTCCTTTATTAAGGCATAGATGAAGGATAAATAACTTGAAAAAGTATAGACATCGGAGCTAAGGCATAAAATGTTTCATGGTGCTCTGAAGAGCAGCTATAAAACATTCACATTCCCCGGAGATTGCTCTCAAGCTCAACGGTTCGCTTCCTACTAAATCGAACAGTAATCTTCCGATTATGAGTCCTTCAGGAGCTCTTTTTTTCTTTCAAAAACAACGAAAACAAAAGGATTTCGATTTATTAGAATTAAAAAACCCGGTTTTTCATAACCTTGATTTATAAGTAGGTATTTGGTAAATACAACATGCTTTAATTTGGAGTGTAATCAGTTGAGTTTTGACTAGTTTTAGTGGCACCCAATAATTGGGTAGTTTCCTAGGTCAAAAATAAATTAATTCGACGTTTCAATACAATAAAATATTGAAAAATAACTATACTTTTATTCAACGATCGATCGATACACTAAGTTTTAGATGTTATTTAGCTAATTATAAAGAAATAAGTAAGATATTTGACGCAAAAATGTTATTTAAATTTCATAGAAAAGTGTCGTTTTTGACGTTTGCATAAAAGTATTGAATTTGACTAGTTGGAAACTACCGTATTGGTGGAGGTGGTATAGGGGCACCTTAATAGGGGTAATATCCTCAATGTATTGTGATACCTATATCGGGTATCGTAACATACAAAACTTGTGAACGAATAAAAGAATGAAGCGAATTTTTTGTCACTATAATCAAAGTAAGTACAGTAAATTCTATTACTTAAAAAAATATAATAAATTTGAAATAAGAATTACTTACCAGCCAAAAAAGTCATTTCAAATGCCCAATACAGCAGCATGGCATTATCATACGTAAAGACCTATTATGTTAGACCTCTACATATCCCATAGCGGTCCAAAAGCCGTAATATCATTCAAAAGCTACACACATGGAAACTAGGTGGGATGACGATATCGGCAAATTAGCTGGCAAACGTTGAAGAGCGGAAGATCGAGTTCAGTGGCTATTAGAGAGGCCTATATCCAGCAGTGGCCGGAAATAGGTTGATGATGATATGGAATGTGATACGTATAACTTCATCTGTTATTTATCAAAGGGATCTAGTTAGAACTTCTATGTATTCTATATAGTTATTCAAATACACCTATAATTTTTTTAATTTTTTTATTAAATAGATCGGCAAAGCAGGCGGATTACCTGATGGTAAGTAATCAGCGCCGCCCATGGACACCCGCAACGTAGGAGTTACGAGTGCGTTGTCGAACT